ATCCCATCGAGGTCTCGGAAACAATTGCAGGTTGTGGTTTTACTTACTTAGACTTTTGACATTGACTCGTGTTCCGGGAATGAGTTGCCTGTTCACTGGAGGCCGAAGACGTTTTCCTGTTTTGGATAACATGTAAATTGATTTTATGCTGTCTACTCCACGCTCTAGTCTTAGTGCGACATTTGAAATAAAATAGGCCACGTCAGCCTTTCGTTCAGAGATAGCATCCCACTTACGTTCAACATGAATAAGCTTCCACAAGAGCTTGTTCTCCACATCTCCTCTCACCTATCCATCCCGGATCTGTGCAGGTTTCGCCTCGTTAATCGTAGTCTCGCTGACACAACGTATCCTGGCATTAGTAAACATGTTTCACTGCTCAACATTTCTTCGTCTGCGGAGGATTTCATCCTGCACTTTACAGATCGTAGGAAGTCATCGTGCACAAAGTCTTTGACCGTCTATCACGGGGAGTGGCCGGTATGTTCGCGAAAGGAATGGCAAGTTCACCCTCTCTCCCTTTACGAAATTCATCCGCGGGCTTTCTTGGACGCTGCCATAGACGATGTTTATGAGCGCTATCTCCATTTCACATCTCTGCAATGGGACAGGCCCAACCTCAAAGATCCCAGTGCGTTTTACGAGCTCCTTTCAACGCTGCCACAAGTCAAATCCCTTACCTTGTCTCCTTTGCGCCTGTCATCTCGCCGTTGTTGGTCCATCAACAAGAGGATTGGTCGCCTGAGAAGCAACATGTGGATTTCGCCTTCTTTTAACGACTCGATGGCGCCTCTGATAGGGGCATTCCTTTCCGTAAGCGAGAGATTCCCTCGCATCAAAGAGCTTATCGTCAAAGGCAGGTTGAACCCACAAGACGTCTCTCTTACAGCAGACACCTGCGTCATCAGGCTTGAAATTGTCTCTCTAGTGTCCGTGGGTGCTCGATCCGAGGCTTTCCTTGCCCTCATCCACCGATTTCCCAAACTTGAACACCTGAGTGTCAGACTTGAGACGGCGAACAGTATTCATGTGCCAACATCAGTGCATGGCATTCAAATCCAAAGCCTACGCAGTCTGTTCCTCGGAAATCTGTGGATATCTGAAACGTGGTTGACACGGATCATTGACCAAAACAGTTGCATGGGTACAGTCGGGCTTACAGATATCACATTGACAGAAGGAACTTGGCAATCTTTCTTTACTCGCCTCAGAAACAACAGCCGCTTGTTGAACTTCACCTGTAACGGTGTTCTAGATGGAACAAGCCTAGACTGCCCTGCCCTCGTGATGGAAGACGATAAGAGGTATTTATTGTACCGATTTTTAAACTATGAACAGTCGAGATGGCCGTTTAAGGTATTCAAGTTTCGGGAATCGATTTACGTTTAAGTGTAATTAGAAATGATTGAGCCGAGCCAAGTAGATTATTTCATGAGAAACATATAAATTTGCTATGAAGTCTGTCTATTCCGCGTTCTTCTTGGTTTCCATTCCCGTCTACATGTTTTACACTTGATTGAGGCCTGTGTTGAAGAAAAAACTCCACAACCAAAGACATGAGTTCTCATCACTCGCATTTTGAACACGACCCTGGCCAAGGCAAACTCCTGCTCAGATCGACCCATCCTTGGGTTTCATGAACCTGCCGCCTGCGGAGTATCCGCACCTTGATTTGAATCCGGAGTATACAATCCCAGGCCCATATCCATATCCACAATCACCGCTCCACAGCCGTTTCAGCACCGAGCCGGAGGCAATTCCGAGAGTATCCGCACCCAGTCCGAGTGAGCAGGACCCAGTAGCTGTCTCCTTTGGATGGCATTATGCTACAGATGAACGAGCTTTGCAACGTTCTTGCTATATCATGAAGGAGATTGCGAAGGGAAGATTAGCAGATCCGTCCATGGATCCAATCTTATTCCAGGATATTATGAGTATCCATGATCAGACACACCCAGAGAAGATGTCTGTGGTGCGTGAACTGTTCTCTCGCGATACCGAGGACTTCAGAATCCCGTTTCGTTACCTTCACGATCTCTTCTGCGCCTGGCGTTCCGTTTGTCACATCAAAGTCCAGAGTTCTCAAGGTGTTAACTTCGTCATTGAAGACTACGATGCGGAAAAGATCCTCATGTGTGAAGCCATAGTGCGGTCTGTACTTCGAGGCATACTGAAACATATTGAGTCGATCAAGGAGGACCAGGTGTTGAATTTGAGCGGAGAACTGTCGTAGGTTCTATTGACCTAGGCTCATTGATACGAGTAGAACTCTTTGGAATCACGAAGCTGTATAGGAATTGCAGGGACTAGAACACACAAACACGTAAACTGAATTCGTGCATTTTTTTCCAGTTATCATAAATTATTTTTGCTATGCCTAAGAGTTGGTGATCATCTCAAATATATACTGGCTCCTACTTTCAAACCTATACTCATATTGTCTGTGCCAATTCGTCTCAATAACGAGCTCGCAGTTCGTAGCTCGTGATCAGATCAAAACGACAAAGATGTCTATGCACCGCAATATTCTTATATTCCTTGCCATCACTAGTGCTATTATAGCAATAGTTCATTGCGTCATGATTGGGGTTGCTCTAGGCCTACCTGCGGTTCAAGATGCTGGTGTTGTCACTATAAAGGTATGCCCAGGATCCTCGATGATTGAAATGCCGTGACTTAGTATGTTAGCTCAATAACACAAATCTCCTGGGAACGGAGTCCATCGATATCCCAAAGCTCTCACGATTGGGCTTACGAAAGCCTGTCTCAACTACGACAGCAAAAGCCATTGTGTCGGCGTCGACCAGCTCAACACGATCAAACATCTAGTACCGTTGATGGACGGCCTGAACGATGTTCTCGGATACCCCATTGCTTCATGGTCTTTTTGTATCTCTAGGAGTAGTGTCCTTCATCTTTGCGACTCCCCCGGTTCTGTTCTTATTCTTTGCCTTCACTGGTCGACGACGAATTTTAAGGCGCCTGCAATGCCTTTTTATCTTGGCGCTGTGTACACTGCTAGTTCCGGTCGTCTTGAGCCCAACCCTGACCATACTATCGGTGAAAGAGACAGTCGGTATTTTTGAGACTGTGGTGGAGGGTGATTTAAGTCAGCTTGGGATTGTTGGGATCGCATGCAACGTAATCAACTTTACGATGGCCCTTGCTGCACTGTTCGTCCATCTTGTGTCTTTTACGGCCTGACGGTGGCATTCTTCCCCGTAATCATTAGCTGTCCGCACCCTTTCTATTATAGGCTCGTCTCCTTTTCCCTACATTGCAGTCAACTATAAATGACAGCCATTTCCTCTGTTTAATCACCCTGATCCACGCTGGTTAATCACAATCTCAATACACAATGAATCCTGACTCCTCCTGCAACTCTCGACTTGCTCGAGGCAAAGTCCCCCAACTCTCCTTCCAAACCACAACATTGACTTTTCCAAACCATTCACCCCACGAAATCGACGTTTCGGGCTGCTCAGCTCAGACCACGAAAAGCCGCTGCCAACGCCTCCTCCTCGCCCACCTCATCTGCCGGCTCCACTGCAACCGTCTCTACTATCAGCTCCACCAACTCCACCCAGCATGTTTGATCCACGATGGGAGCTCCAGTTCCCATCAACCTTGATTTACTATAACCATGACAACGGGAACCCGTGGATGAAGGGCATTGAACGGCACCAAACTGCTGCTGCTTATTGGCAGCAGGCTTATCACACTACGTGTGCCGACCTGTCTGAGGCTGTATACCTGCTCCAATGCCGCATTTCCGACTTAGAAGAGCGCTTCGCAGACAAGAAGCAGGTATGTCCGGCTCAGCCACATGCACTAAGTTCTGATGTATTAACGATAAAGACCAAGGAAGAATGGCGGCCTATTAGTCCTTCTACTCCGACCGCAATCAAGTTGCCAAATGATGTCCAGGGCAATTTCGTCTGAAGTGCTGGGAGAAAGTTTGCGTTGTCAGTCGTTACTAGATGCGTAGTTCTGATAGTTTCTGAATGCTTGAATGAGATTTCCACATGCCACACAGCTTGTTCCTCACCAAAAATTGACGTGACATTCCAGAATTAAGGCTTATAGCAGATTCGGAACGTAACGAAAGCACCGAATTTCCAGACACAGCTGGAGAGAACGACAATTTGTTTAAGCTAAATCAGCATTAGACTTCCATTCTCTAGACTTGGCTAAAGTACAAGCAATTCTAGAATCCAATGTGTCTGGAATCTAGGTGCTTGGCAGAAAATACAAGCAATTCTAGAATCCAAGTGTCTGGAATCGAGGTGCTTGGCAGAAGTACAAGCAATTCTAGAACTGATTCTGTCTAGAAATCCCGACAAGGACCTCGATTCTGAAAAGTTCAATTAGATTTGCTCATACTACCGCTCAGCACCTTGATTCTGGAATTCGAGGACAAGCGCTCTGAGTGGATCCAGAATACAAATACTCAGAACCACAAAAGCAGATTCGTGTCTCTATCCTTGATTCAGTTCCAATACTCACTCACGTCATATGTGTCGGTCCAGAACACTATCTTCTCGTTACGCAGGACTTGAATCAAAAATTCTAAATGGATAAACAGTCAGAACAACAGTATCGAGTTTTCAAAAACACGTCCACTCTCTCCATGATTAACTCCGAAAAGTTTATCACCTACTTGCGGGAGTATCGTAGTTAATATGCAAATTACGTTTTTGAGGTCAGGTGGGTGTGGTGTAGGGAGTTTTGGAATGAGTCTTGATATTAGGGCAAAAATCCACTTTCCTGACCAATGAAAGGCTTCATAGCCTTGCCCGTGGCCACCCTCCCCACATCCTTGCGGGCCGCGCTTTTTTTTGGAAACAATTGCGCGTAGTCGTACTCGTCCACGTACTGTCAATTACCCACGGTCGCAATTGCTTGATTATCGCGATTTTGCAACCCAAAATCGTCTACTATTAGTAATCAAATCTACTTATAGGTAAGTGCGGCCATAGCCAATTGCCACGGTGGGTAATTGACCTTACGTACCTTAGGCAATTGTTTGTATGGTGCGGGCCTTGGGTAAGTACGGAATCACTGGCAGGCAAGTGCGCGGACTGGCCCGTGGGCAGGCGCAGTGGAATTGTCGGATTGAAATTCTGCTTGCGGGTTTTAATTGGCCAGAGCAGTGGATTACTGCCCCAATAACCAAACAGTATTGGTATTCTGGCCCTCTTATGAACCAATTACCGTAGTGAGTTTGGCTGGGGGGGAGACATATGGAGGCACATGGAAGTTCCAAAGCTCTAGACCAATCTTATGCAGAGTGGCAGATAATTGGTAAGTCTACGAGAGGCTAATTAGTCAAGCTTTAAAGAATGCTAGGTAAAAGAGTCTCCGAAACTAGTGCCTTAGGTTAGCATGTGTTCTCGTAGGGCTATCTGAGACTTGAACACCTTGACATCCAGCGACCTGCTCTGCTTCGTTTCCTTTCAACGCAACTCTGTATACGGAATAAGACGTTCTATCTCTGCTAGATTTCGATGCATCTGGTAGCAGGTGAAGTTATTTTAGAAGAACCACAGTGACAATTTGGCCAGAGGGCAGCCCCTCAAGTATTCGCTCTTCGGTGCAGATCTGGCCTGGAATTTTTGACGTGGCGATTCGTCAGTGGTTACCGAACAGGTAACTATCTACAAATTCTGCATATGCTATCAATTAACTACTAAATGATATCAGTACAAACAGCTTCATGTTTTCTCTAAGTCGCCACTAGTGGGGATATCCCGAACACAAGAAAGAACGGAAATGGGATCGGATCAAGCTCTTATTTATTATTGCCCTAAACGTGGTTTGGTGTACTGGCGCCATTCCACTGTTGATAGGATGAGATTCCCTCATTCTCAGACTCCGTAAAATAAAATCCGCATCACCTTGTTTCCGAATCACTGCTTCGTATAAAGTGAAACTCGAATACAAAAAGAGCAGGGTCCTGAAAACTCGATCAATATCCACATGAGTGTTCTCTACGTATAGCACTATTATATGCTGGTAGTTCATCAAGGCAGTCAATTTCCCATCCGTATTCTTCAACAATCACCCTATGGAACTTCTGATGGCTTGGCTTCAACTTCGAACGAATGCTCCTGGCCTTCAAGGGGCCTTTGTCATTGAAGATCGATCAGTCTACGATGCAAACTGCGCGTCAAAGATGCTCACTTTCTTGACATGTCCGAAGTCAAGTATAGAAGACGTCTGTGTGAAGAGGCTGGATCCCGAGAGCTTCATCGTCGAATGCCCAGTCTTCGCAGCGATTCGAACAAGAGTCAAAGCCGGACCGGTTCCACCCGGGTTCACAAGGCTGTTCCTGGAAAGAATCACTTCCACGCCTATTGTTGTAGAGAAACTATACGCCCAAATACTCTGTCCACTCAGCCATGTCGTGGCCCTCATGGTGGATGACTTAGGCGGTTTGTCAAAATCGGCCGGTGTTCTAGCATCATTGATGTGCAACTGGAGAACACTCAGCATATCTCCGAAGCCTTTGCTTTTTGTGGTTACCAAGGACAAGGGAATCACGGAAGATATATTCGTCAGAGAAGTTACTTTGCATTGCTTGGAGCTTCTGCGGGTTCTTCACGCTGACACGCCACCGACGTACACGCATGTCAAAAGCGAATGGACCACAAATTTCGAAAGCATAGCCATTGTTGCGACAGAGGAAGTGAATCTATATTACCATCTCGTCATCTTTTCAGAAGACATCTTACGGCAAAGAAGACAGAAGCGATTTGCCTTCGCTTCTGATACACTCCACAAACTCGTCATTCAAGGCATCTGTCAAATAGGGAGTAGGGAGGAATTCAACATCGTGAGGTCGCTACGATCACAGTCACAGCGATTTCTCCCATCCCTCTTTGTGCCATACGCCCTAAAGCTATCAAGTACGAAGGAAGAGTTTCCCGAGTTCAATTGGCGAAGTCTCATAGCTTCTTCTCTGGTGGTTGACAGTCATCGGCCCTCTCATCATGGTATGCATCAGTCTCAAACTTTTGAGCATGGAGCTAAACCTAAACAGTGTTTCAATCCGACCTAATTTTTGAAGAGGAGTATGAATGCATGCTTGGCTACCTTGCACTAAAGGCTCGACAGCCTGGGTTAGTGGCTTCAGTCAAGCAAGACTTTTGTAGTATGATTGCAGGCGCTGCGGCCAATCCGGAAGCTCTTCTAGAAGTCCACTTGCAACTTCTCAAAACCCACGGCGAAAAACTGTTTCCTTCTCAGGCTTGTGCTATATGCTTTTTTCGAGCCGCAACGCATACTGCTACCTGTTCACACAAACTGTGTGATTCATGCATCGATCTTCTTGAGATGCCGAGCAACGTTATGCAACACCCCACTTGTCGTCTCTGTCAAAAGGGCGAAATTCTGATCAAGCCACGCGATGTGGCTGTGCGAGCATTGATACTGCACGGAAGGACTTCCCGAGGTACCGTCAGCTTTCTTCATCGTTTGCGGCGCGCTTTGCTGGGCCCGCTTGAAGAGTACTTTGATATTGTGATAGCGTTAGATAGAGGTATGTCTCACGCTATATCTCAACTTACGATTCCCAACTTACCTGTTTAGCTGTACCTGTCGTTTTAGATCATTTTTGCCGTCGCTGGCCTTTATCTCAATGCGTTCCGAGCTATAAAAGTAAGAAATGGATACTGAATAAGTTGAGTAGGCGAGTTCCAAGTTTACTGGGAAATCAATGTCATTTGATCCTCTTGCGTGGAAAGACTATCATGAGCAGCTATGGCGAGCCACGGAGGAAACAGGATCGCCAGCCGGAAGTGATAGAAGCGGAGCTTGCTAAGTTGTGGCCATCCAAGCCAGTTCTCAGAGTAGAGCATGACAAAGACTCATCTTGGCTGGAGGGAAATGTGCAAGCAAACATGGCTTTTGCTGCGCTGTTCCATGTGGTAGTATCTGATAGCCCTGAGTCGACGTGCGCTCACTTGACGGTGTTCTGTTCGATACCGCCGGGAGCTCATCTTCAACGCATTGCTATGCATGCGCGGACGAAAAAGATGAGTTTCTACTACGGAGACCAAGGAGGATGGTCTCAAGAAGATCTATGCGATATCTCTACATGGAATTGCGTTCGATCAGGTGGCGCCTTTACTAAACGAATCAACGTCAATCAGCCTGATCCGAGATCGATCAAGGCGAAGATTGATGGTCCATTCGAGATGATGGATCGTTCAGACATTCAAGTCATATCTCGCCTCACGCAAACACCTCGCGTCGAGACGAAAGAATACGACTCGCCCTTTCAGCATCTGTCCGAAGATATCGATTGTTCTGAGGCTAGACGGTCCTTGGATCGTTCTAATACAAGTGAGGAGGAGTTCCAATTGCGACCGCTCATTCACAAGACCGAATTTGAGGAGATACTGGCGACGAGGGACGTTCCTTCAGTTGGATCTCACATTATGGTGGACAATTGTACAGCTGGCATTCATCGAAGAAGTGAGGCTGCTGAAATTGTGGACAAACAGCAGAATTCTTTGAATTTCTCAAGCTCTACAGAAACAGTCTTGTATAAGGGGAACCAACTCCTAGGCGAAGCAATTGATGAAATGTTAAACAAACTGGGGGAGATACGGATAAGACAATGACGGACCAGAGAGTTCCTAGCTAAGCCATGTTCAAAGCTTGCAACAGATCTTTTTGCCCTAAAAGTGTGTACGAGAATTCTGAGATCGTGTCACCATCTTTCTGCGTCGATCATCTTCTGAGCATGTTCTCTTTCTCTTTCTGGTTCCTTGATCACCGTGATGTTGCGGTCTTCTAATAGCCTGTTGCTCGTCAGGGGTTTTCGAGCCTTGCCAATCAATGACAGCCTTATGCCCGATATCTCCAAAAACATCCCTCCCACCCTGTTCCTTCCCATGCAGAACATCTGGCGTGATACAATGATTACTCTCAGCCGTAGCTGGATGTAAAGGTGGAAGCTGCGAACCCTTCGCCTTCCTTGTCAGTGACGATACCAGCTCGTCGATCGGATGATCTTCCGTTCGGCCGCTATCAATAGATTGCCGCAGCGGCGTATTTAACAAAGAGGAGGATGACACTTGACTTTCACTAGAGCCCCCGGACGGGAAGGAGGTAGGGGCTCCTTTACGATCGGCTACGGTATCGAAATGATCGGGCCCATGGAGGTTTTCCTGGCGAATTCCCATAGACCGTAGTAACTGATTAACAGGCGTCCAATTGGTGTGAGAGACATAGCTGTAAATGTTGCGATCGATTTCTACCACAACAGCTACCTTCGGTCCACACATGCGGTGAAGGGTGTTGCCTTTCTTGAAGAGGCCTGTGGTGCGAATCTTGCAAGCTCGGGTGGATGACGACATTTCAGACGATTTCTTGGATAGTTTCAGGTGGGCTTGTTTCTGTCGATGACGATGTATTTCAGAGGTTTAACTAATTCGTTGAGAGGAGATGAGATGTGACCTTTTATAGCTCATCTGCCACTAATCAAAACCTGTATAACTGAACACGCCGAACTGTCTGAATTGCTCTGATTTGTGAATAAATATAGATATCAACGCGCTGTGTCTATTTTGGAAGCCACGCTTGACATGCCGTGAGCTATTTTTACACACTTGAAGGGCTCATAAAAGAATGAGAAACCCCCCAGAATCAGCAGCGAATGCCTTTCAGGTTACTTTCACATTCTATCGTTCGAAATGGCTAAGCTTGACGGTGGCCAGTGGTATAGCGTTGCCTTGACCTCTTTTCTCGCCACGGTCATTTTACGTCGATACGTATCTCGTTTGTTCCGTGTATTTCGAAAGGCAACCAAGCACTACCACGAACTTGTCTTCCTCACCACGGGACTCATATTGTTTCTGGCAGGAAATATCTGTCTCGTGCTGATCAACGTTTCAGACAACGACGACCGTCAGAAAAGAGCTGCGACTGCCGGTGCCTTTGGCCTTTGCCTAATACTCATCCCGGGTCGCACAAACGTGCTGGCTCAGGCGGCTGGCATATCTATCAACTCTTACTACCTTACCCATCACTGGGTTGCCTTTATCGCGGGAGGCCAAGGTGCGTTGCACACAGGGCTCGTATGGTCAAACCAATGGCGGCTGCTACAGATATCCGGACTACTTGTAAGAGAAACCTGAGAACCCTAGTGACCTATCTGCGCAGGAGGCGGCTGAGCAAAATCAAGGTGATCGTCTTTCTCGTACTCAACACCACTTCATATGCGCTATTTTATCTTTTTTCGTTACGACAGCGTTTCTACTCACTCTATATCACTTTTCATTCCGGAACAGCTCTTGGAGTGTTTGTTTCTCTGTTAATCCACATCTTATCTTCGATCGTCAACTATTACAAGATACTCTGGATCTCAGGCTACACTCTCGTCTGGGCTGTCATGTTTTTCTTCCGCATCAAGCCAGCGTTCTCCAGGCAACACGGTCGCGTTGAATCGATGACCGAGGTTCAGAGCGCCGCTGTCATACGTGTCAAGTTATCTGAGGAGATTCCCATGTACCCGGTTGCCTACTACTACCTTTGTTTAAACAACGGGCGATTTTATAGGTTGTTCGGGTTGCCAGTCGTATTGTATTCGTGGAGTTCTGTTTTTGGTTCCTATCCCGTCCAGCTTCAACTTCCGGAAAACGACAGATTCGTCAATGGAGACACTCAGAAGAATGCTTCCTCATCAAAGCAGCCGCGCCTCCAGCAAGACAAGGCGCCTACGAAGGGTGGAAACAATGAACCACCTCGGCTTACACAGCCACTCAAGGGTATATGCGCAGTATTCGGAACAAGTCACGGCGGTGATCTAGTGACGGTCTCTCAGAAGGTTTTCTTGGACGGGCCGTATGGAAAGGATATCCACCTCGAGAAGTTCAAGACAGTCACGCTGATAGCGGAGGGCTGCGGTATCTTTGGGGCTTTTCCTCATGCTATGTTTCTCGCTCAGCACGCATTCCACAACCGAGACGAGAGAAGGAAGATGAAAGACCAGAAAGATTTCAGCCGATCAGTCGATAGACTTTACGGTGATGTGACCAGAAAAGTCAACCTATTTTGGATCCTAGAGTTGCAGGCGCAAGACCGGTTAGCCGCGAGAGAGCTTTCCCAGCTGATGTCCCTCGACGAAGGCCATGTAAGTTTCCAACTATTCCGAAAGAATCAGGCTGATACGGTTTGCAGGCTCTTTTGCATGTCTACATCATGTATCCAAAGCCAATCACAGGCTCTGAGGACACTTTGAGAATACCTGAACACGTTAAGTGGATGCGATCACACGGGACCAAGGAGCACCAATACAAACTCTTGCGCGAAGTCCTCGCCCTGGACTCTTACGGGGCTGATTCCTCAGCAATTCTTGGTATGTCATACGGAACCCTCAGGGAGCCTCGCTATACTAGTACTCATGGCAGTAGTCAGTGGGAACACAGAGTTCACCGATGCTATCCATAAATTCGTGCTTCAATCGGGAATAGAGACGCGAGTTTTCACGTCGGAGTATCCTGAAAGCGAAGACCAGACAAATGCTTTCAGGCGTGCCTCCAAAAATGGAAATTTGAATCCAGATGTGGAAAAGGGGAATGTCATTCGTTCAGGGGTACATCAGCCCACACTAGTGAAGCGTAGGATTCGCGTGGAGAATATCCGTCGGGTACCTTGACGATCTTATTTGTTACCGGTCATTGGGTTTCTCTCTTCTTAGTTCTTGGTTCTCGTTGTTGTGTTTTTGATTTTTGTTTCCAGTATCTTGTTCATCTTTGTCCGAATTCTGATAGCTGATCACGCATAGTCGAATGATCAAGGCCGATGTTAACCATGATGAATCGTCGACTGCTAAACTCTCTGGGTTGATCTGAACCCTTAAAAGGGGCAAGCCGACAGTACAGACCCCATAACGGGATGAGCCTTCTCAAGTGACATAGATCTTGGCACGATGTCGGAAACTCACGGCCCATTAACCGGACGCAATATCTCTGTGTGCGGAAAGTTCGAAAACCGCACGCAGGATGACATCGTGGAGCAGATCAGTCGGTTAGGGGGGATCGGCTTAAAAAATAAACTGCCAGATGATGCATTTTGTGTCATCTGCACCTCAGAAGCTACGGAAAAGAACAAAACTGTGCAAGGAGCAATTGCTAAAGATGTGCCACTCGTTTCTGTGCAGTGGCTTGATGACGGTGGCTCGCCAGCAAACATACAGCAATTTCTTATCGGACCCAACAAAGACAATGCGGAAGATGAGAGTGTTGTCAGCCCTGAGATCCAAAGCACTCCACCCCAGCAAATTATTGATCCTCCAAAACCGGAGACTCCAGAAACCAGGAGCGGAAAGGACCGTTATGAAGGAAACACGGAATCAGTAGAGAGTACCCCGACAAGAAAGCCCAGTAACACTATTATGGAGAGACTTGGCAGTGCATATCAGGCCATTACTGGCACGCCTCGGAAGAAGTCCTTTGCCCCTCCGCCTGCCGGAGAAGCCACAGGATCACCCGAAGATCATGCCTTAGAAAGCAATGAGATGCGGGAGAAGGCTCAGGGCCCTGGCCCAACCGATTCCAGCACATACCCCAGTTCAACAGGTGAAGAAGGAGATCTCTCTTCCCCGTCAGAAGCGTCGTCTTTCAAGAGCTACCATATTCAAGACGAAGGGAATCGACCCGGCAGCGCCACCGAAAGTATGGTTCCGGTATCACCTAAGAACCCTCCTGATCACTGGGAAGGCGATACCCAAGTGGATCTGCCCTTATCGTCCGCTAGCCATGATATCCAGATTGAAAGCGGGAGAAAGGTCGGTTCCCGAGGCGATCCGAGACAAGAATCAGCTGCTAGCCCTATTGCCCCTCAGGATAGAAGCGGACGAGAGGGCAGCACCCAAAGCAACCCCATCCAAGTATCATCTGCTAGCCCTGATACCCAGGTTGCAAGTAGACCAGAGGTCAGTTCGCAAAGGAATATAAACCCAGTATCTGTTCACCCTCAGGACGGAAGCGGACGAGAGGGCAGCACTGAAAGCAACCCGATCAAAGTATCTTCTACGAGTCCGGAGCTTCCCAAGACTACTCATCAATCACCCGTCTTGAAGCAAGAGAGCCGTGGCGATACGGATCAGCAGCCGGACACAAGTGATAAAGATCAGAAGGGTAAGACACAGAGGGATTTTGAACAGAATGACCTTCCACAAGGCAGGGAGCAGTCAACACAATCGAGCTTAAATGGGGGCAGCGACAAAGAAAACCAAGGGGAGTCTTCAAATGATTCGGGTCTTTACGTGTCAACACCTGTTCAGAAGACACAACCAACTCTCAAACAAGGAGACTCTGTTCCCGAGAAACAGAAGAACCAAGCAAACAACGTCTTCCAAAGGCAGTCGGAGACTTGGCGTGGAAAGCAACCAGAGCCTAGGCGAGTATTCCAGAGCACCGAGTCAGATGAGGGGGTGCATCACAAACAGGCAAAAGACTCGGAGCCACGTCCTCTAAAGCCAGCGCTCGTCCACTCTAATAAGCAAAGCCAACGAGTTGACGGATTGCAATCTCCGGACTCCGCCGCGACCGTTGTGCGTGACGATGCCTTCGATCCGTACAAATGGGCTGAAACACACGCGCTTGGTGGTGACCAAATGGAGAGACACCCAAAATTCTCAGACTGGAAAGATTTTCCGCACCCAAAGACAGGTCTTTGGATCGAAATAGACGACTTCGAGCACACTGACAGAAAGATATGGGTACTGGCGAGGGGTATCACGTACAAGAACCAGTTGGCAGTAGAATCCATCGGTTTCAGGGAGGGGCAGAGTCGAGGATTGAGCCTGAGCGCTCCAGCCTACAAAAGTGAGATTGCCACTTTGCGTAGGAAAGGAATTGGGCAGTTTCCACCAGGAGACCCGAAGGATTTTACAGGTCTCAAGGGCAGGAACCGATTCGGCGATGGGCAACAGAATCCGTTCCACGTGGTTTTTTTCGCAGAGGCCCATGGCGCAAAGAACAACGGAGATTGCCTGGTCGTCTATGACGGAGGTAAGGCGATGTCCAAGACCGACGTCGTGAAGGCAGGCGGCTCCAAATGGGGCGGACTTATCGAAAGCCACCGGCGGCCCGAGATTAGTGTCGCCCCCGGCAGAGTGCTGTGGCCCGACAAGAGCATGACAAAGGCAGTAACGTCGACTGGCAATCCGCCCGGGACTCGATTGGCATCCTCGCAACCCATGTTGCCGACACCAAAGTCGGTGCCGCAGCCTCGGTTCGTTCAGCACACCCCGGCAGGGGCTCCAGGGCCTCAACGCGGCGCCCCGTTCCAGCGACCAGAACGTACGAACGTAACGTTTTCGCCGACGAGTTTGTTCTCGCCTACGCCCGCAGCCCGGCAGCCATCTGCTGCAACGACTGCTCCTACGGGCTTCCCCCCCGCGTTGACTCCACCGACCAGATCTCCTCCAATGAACATGGCACAGGCTTCCAGCAACCTGTGTTTCGTCAATTCCCTGGGCCTCAAAATTGGGTGCCGCCACAGGTGGGATGGCCGCCCCAGAACTTTCTGTCATACCAGCATCAAGCCGCGCCGTACTACGTGTTGCCGCCCTCGCAATCAGCATACTCAACACGCGACGTCTCCATGGACCCGAGCAGCAGCTTCAGAGGTTCTTCCCAGCCTCCCGCGGCATTCCCAAACCCAGCGGATCCACCTAACCTGAAAAGTCGGGGGCGGCAACTCTTTTCCCTGATCAAAAGGGCGATTGGTACATCAACACTAATAAAGTGACTTTTCCGGACGGTTATGCACCTACCCAAGCCGGTAGCGTAGAGTGGCTAACAGACAAGAAACATGAATACGCTCGAACAAGTGATGCTAGACTGTGGCGTATAAGTCTCGAAAGGTGACCTTGGTCTTGTTTGTATTTTCTAGATAACAGAATGATATGGTATTCTGGAAGGGATAGCGCAAATAGACTTCCATTTCAGTTTCTCGCCTGATTTACTTGCCAGCGCAATGGTGAGCTGTGAGTGTCTCGTCCCACAGCTATCCCATCACTGCGGAATGGCGATAGCACATAAGGCGCCTCTTAAGGGGAATAGCTAATTTGCGTTATTCGACTCTATTCTTGATTTCCTTTAATCAAAAATCATAAGGAGCCAAGTTAGAGAAAATTGAAGAACGAATGAGCTGTTGCATTCCGCAGTTGATGGGGTAATTTGGTTGCGGTGGCTAGCCCATAGAGGAGGTACCGATCGGTACGTCGGCACAAATTCCGGTCTTTCTGCAATTAGCAGCCATTTTCAAAACTTCAATTTGCCGGGAAAACAGGTAGGTTTCTCGTACTTACGTCTTCGCTACTACCTCTACCAATTACTATTGAACACTCATGATTGGCTTGGGATCCAATTCGGGATCTCAGGTTATGGAATAGGTACAGACTTGAACTCGCACTTGGGATAAGCTGCCAGCCTTATAAACATGCCGCCTTGAAGCCCAGTGGAAAAGGCGCAGAGCGCCTATCGGTGCCTATATATCCCGGTAGGATGGTGTGAGAGGGATTGAATTACGGAACCAGGAGAAATGATACACAAAGCAGACAGTAGATGTTTAGTTTTCAGAAACACCTCCCAGGCTTGGGTCGGGGGCCAGAAGGTGTCAATAGCACCATAGTATATATGCACCTCTGTCTATCACTGCGTATCTCCTGTGCCAACTTTCATCGAACGTTCACTACGCAGCCGATGGAGAGCGAAACCCCCATTGCCATCATCGTCACCCCTCCCACCCCCATTGCGGACCGTGACTTCACCACAGAGTGATGCCCTCGTCCGTAGCTGATAGCCTGACGGTCGGCTCTCTGACGATACGTACACATGGACTGAATCGCCTTCGGAGTCTTCTCCGTCGGCGTACGATTCGAGCCAAACACTTAATGGTGACGCCGAAGAGCGTAACCCCCATCCCGACCCGGAGGCTCTCCAGCGTGTTGTGCAAGCTATCGTGGGTGGGGACACCACCATGGCCCTTGCCCTCATGGAAAGCGGCATTCCCATCTCAGGATCGCTCCTCCCTCAGCAGCTGCGCGCCCCTGGAACGGATTTCAATAAGCGGATGGACCGCAGTCGTGATACAATTCTGCATTCTCTCCTACGTGCCACGATAGATCAATTTCCAGAGAAGGTGGACACTGTGAAATGGCTGTTCCACAGCGGAATCGATCCCCTCGTGCAAGGTGCCTTGGGCGATACAGCGCTTTACCTCTTGTCCGGCGCTCACAGATTTCCCGAACCTCTAGAAGAGATCAACCAGCTAGCGCTTCTGAAGTACCTCCTTCGCAATGACGAGGAAGCGCTCAGACTTCCGGGGCCGATGGCATCTGCCTGTACGCGTGCGGACTACGTCAATCTCCGCAATGACTACGGCAACACAGCACTATCTATCGCTGTCTTGTACGGCTATGAAGAATGCGTCAGGCTCCTCTTGAAGAGTGGCGCCGACCCAGACGTGAGGGGGAACATGACCGCAAGCCTCTATCTTGGGCCTTAGAGCGAGGCAACGTGAGTATTTCGAACACGCTATTGGATTTCGGTGCTCGTTTCGATTCGGAAATCCTAAGAGAAGCTTGCATTGCTATGATGAGGAACAGCGCTTTCATGGGGATCAGGCAATGAAGTAGAGCAATGTCGCTCGGTGGTCTCATTTGTTGTTTTTGTAACACAGTCCTGAAGCAATGCCTAAATTCAACAGCTGTCCGTGCAGCGTTCTCTTTTGCCTTTGATCCACTCTTGAAAACACGCCACCGCTTCGAACGCTATACAGCGCCCCTGTCACCTGTGCTCCCCATGAGATGCCCCGCTCTCGTCAAAAAGCTGCATCATTCGTCTGCTTCTAGATGCTAAAATTTCCGGTGAGGGGTACAAGGCGACAAGATTTTGCTATGCATCCCTCCGAGTGCGAGTTTACAAAAGTGCAAGAGTATGTGTGCTATGTAGGGAAGCCGATTACACGTTAAGCCATTGCTTTCTCCCTTATGTTCTGGAACTGGAGAATAGAGCATACATTTGGACATCACCTCGCAATGACGATAACATTATCTGCGTCATTGGATGATTCTTCTTGATCCTGTGGGTCTTCTCGCCTTGCTATGCTAGTCCGCCGTCATCCCACGGGATTAGAGGCCACAGGGTTTCTTGATGACCACACTCGTTCCATGCCAAGTGCAAGCCTTCAAAGAGCACCCATTCTACACCAGAATCTGAGCAGAGGCATTTGTCGCGCCTCATCTTCTCCTTTTCTGCATCAAACTTATGAAGTTCACCTAACTCACGAGAAGCAAGCTGTATTCTCAGACCTTCGAGTACTGATGCGTAGACTGAGAAACGAGAATCCTTTCATCGCCTGAAGATAAAACTGACGTGGGAACCCGGCATGTGAGTCCTGCTTCTCGATGCATCATACTGGATAGCGCTCAATTTGCTCTTTTAATGAGTGTGATGGTGACCGTGTAACTCTACTCACTCCTCCGCAAAGCTCTCTGGCGTGAAAACTTTGGGGATCGGGTAAGTTCGATCCTGTACTCTTGTTAATTATACAGAAAGTGTGCCTCGGAAGAAGGACAAACAAGATGAGAAGGCGAACGCCAGCCAGAATCGTCAGACGAATCAAAAATCAGGTACTTCCCTGCGATTCTCACAACGAGGAAGACATCAGTGTTGAAGTCTTGTTGGAAATCGCGATGAAATTCGTGAGCCTTCTTGGCCAGGTTGAGTTTTCGACGGCGCAGCCTCTCCATTTGTCGTGCTCTTGTTGCACGAGCCGACGCCCGAGTCGTTCGCAGGATTACTTTGCACGGCTTTGCGCCACTGCTTTCATCATCGCAATCAGAAACAGTTGGGGCTAGGATGTGGGCAGAGTCTTGGGTAGGCAAGATCTCTTGCTCGGGCGTAGGTTCGCGACAGAGCTGTTCGGTGTCCATATTAACTCAGACTTGCTTCTCAACTTAAGTCTCTTAATCCTGCCTATGTGCTTTGTTGTAATACTTTCTCATGTCTAAAGGCACCGCGCCCTCTATATTTATCGTCCAGGTTTGCATGACGCCAATAGTGACGGAGCAGAAATTCAGAAAGTGGATGGTCATCTACCGTAGCCGGCCGTTGTTCTCAAAATAGAACAATGTTACTTTTATTAGATGACTCTAAGCGCTGGCCGCTAAGGGGGAACGTTTAGCAAAGACCAAGTTCTTGTTATATCTTAATCAACAACTGCAATCTGGCAAAAGAATCATGTTGCCAGATCAAAGCAAGAATGCAGACCAACCTCCGCTATCGTCAGAACTGCGCTCAGCAGACTTCTTATTACGTTTGTAGCAAGAATGGGTTTCGTGGTTGCTGTACAGTTGATCCATGTGATCTGTCCAGCTGTCCGGACTCCTACGCCCTTACGTTGTCTCTTTCGGCCTCATCAGTCACGTCGACTATTAGGGCCTCCTCTTCGATGATGCAGCCTACCTCTACTACCCCGAGCAGTTCAGCCACTTCTGCAGTGACCTCCACGCTACCTGGCGCGACGCTGACGACCTCGGACGCCCATAGACCCGTTATAGAGGGTGTACCACTCTTCATAATCGTTTTGGCCATTGGAGTAGCCGTTCCTTTACTGGCTTTCGCCTGCTTTCTTTGGCTGAGTTCGAGGGATCAGAAGGCTGGTGACGAAGACGGCTCTGAGGACCAGTCTCGAGGAATTGTGGGTTCGCAATCATGTAGGAATTACTTCATTCTTCTCATGGCGATTCTAACCTTGTGTAGACGACCCTCCCCAGGCCCATATCTATCGTATGAGTGATATTGGCCTCACAGCTACAACACCCTTCACAACAGCGGTTGAGGCAGCAGTAGCTGAGTTGCCTGATAAAGAATGGCCTTCTGGGCTAAGCAAGGAAACTCCGTCTAGCGAGCCGGGATCGCTTTGTGCCAGACCAAATTTAGATGCAACGGCGGCCGAGGTGACGCAGCGCAAGTATGTAACGAGTTGGTCTTACTTCACTTAGCTGAGTTCTCTCGCAAGCGGGTTAAAGCAGGCTTGCCCCGCAAGGGTCTGGCTGTAAGATAGCGTAGACTGCAGGAGTTTGTCGCGAATATAAAACTCCAACTTCCGCTCGTTCCGCTATACCCATTGTCTTTTCCTCTCTCGGCGACTCCGACTTGATAACATGAACGCTTCTGACACAATCATTGAGCCGGACTTTTCTTACTTTTGCGCATGGTGCTATAAGCCTCTGACAGACCTTGTTCTTCTCTCTGAGTGTGCTTGCGTGAGCGTCCCTTTATCCGCCAATCGAGTACACCGCTGCATAACTACTAATGGCAATCAAGGTAATCTGTTCGACATGCTGCAGGAATTATCAGGAGTATGGCTCGTCTGGCAGCGTGGTTTGTTCCAAATACAGCCATAACGTCAAAGGCTCTCAGGAGACTCGCGTGCTCTACAGCCTGGAATGCTTGATCTGTCACGACAATTGTGAGAGGCACCTCATTGCAATTCATTGTGGTAACCTCCACTGGTCCAGTTCAAAGAATGACACCTAATAGTTCTTAGGTCATATCTTCCACAGCGAATGTCTTCGTGATGCAGGATCTCAATTCGTCAACAAATGCCCATACTGCCAGGCATCGGTTTCAGGCGAGCAACGCCGTGTGAATCCAACTTATACAGCTGCACGTAAGATTGTCACGGCAGACGGGGAATTGCAGACCACCAGTGAGGATATATGGCAACTTAGGCGCGAAGAGAAACGCCGTCTTCTACGATTACAGCTAGAGGGAGTTCTTGAGCAGGAGAGAGAGTTGCGGAGGGACTACCATATATGGTGGACTCAAAGTCCTCAAACCAGTTCCTTGTGAATCGAAATCTGTTTCATTATCTCAAGGCCTTTAAGTTATGTTACAAATGTGTCATGTGTCATTCCAAGTGGAAGTGAGATGGTTAAGCAAGCTGATGAGGTGGAGTCTGAGATCACTTCCATCTGCCCCTCATTGCCCGGACCGTCAATGATCCGAACCGTGAGCCACCCTTGCGCCACCGATGCCCCGCCAGCGGGTCGGCAGAAACTGTGAACTTGACATTAGGGTACATATCTCTCCATGCTTGCCGGGATCGTATCATCCTGTTGATACAGCAGAGGGTCAATCGGTAACTCAGGCGGCGATGTCGAGTACCTGGCAGGCATTTCTGGAACGGCTGATTCTGTGGGTTCGAGCGAAGACAGCTGCTCCCAGGCTACTGACCATGAAGCATCAGCGACATTTTCCATGCGCGGTCTTTTACTCTCCACTGGGCGCTCCATCAGTGCATCGGCCCGGTCCACATCCGAAGCCTGCCGTTTATTCGTCTGTACCCGGAAAGGTGAGGTGATTTCACCGAGTCCTTCATGAGGCTCCGCAGCATGCTGAACCCAACCACCATAGCCCACGATTTCTACGTCACGTCCTTGGCACTTGCAGCTAGGACAATGGAATGACGAAGCAAAAATTTTCTGCTTCCGAACATGGACTTGTATGAAGTGGTCCAAGAAACGACTGCTGGTGAAGCTCTCGCCGCATATGAGACAAACTCTTCGCTGATTGCTTGACGGAGGCTCTTCTTGTTCTCGCGTCCCGTGGGTCCACTTCATGTGCTGGCTCCAGTCTGCACGGTCTGTTATCAGGACCTGCTGGCCGGAACGATGACACTCCGGGCAGCAGAACGGCTCATCGAACAAGCCGCCGGCCTTCTGGTGAATTTCTCGTGTGTGTTTCGTGAGGTTGTGTGTGCCAGATAGCCACGAGCGACAGATGAGGCATCGGACCATTTTCTGTTCATTTGGACTTCGAGATATCAGGTGCGGCGCGTTCTCCTCGCCATGGCACCTTGTGACGTGACTGCTCCAGTCTGCCTCGTCTCGTACCTGATACTTTTGCCCAATCTGGTGACAAGATGGGCATGAAAACGGTTTGCTGAATTGGCGGGAATGTACAACCTTGTAGTGTCTCGTGAGGTTTGACCGTCGCGAATAGTGTCGACTGCAGAGCAAGCATTTGCCTGTCTTTTCTATCTCGGTGTGGCCAGGTCTACCCTTTTTTGGCTGGCTCGTCGTCTTGAGAACTTGGGCAACTTGTGAGGAGCCGGGGAGATCTCGATCAGCCAGGAATGCCAGCAGGTGATTGACAAACGTAGTAGAGTTGAACTTGATATCCGCGTCTTCGTCTCGTAGGTATGAGCCTATCTTCGCAGCGATGCCGCTGGTGAATCTCGAGTGTTCGCTCTTCCTATGGGGATCTTCTGCGGGCGTCACACGTAAGTCGGTAGTCGACAGGCCCTGTACTCTTCGTCGATCCGCTTCCTTGAAGTACTTGGCCCGCCGAACCTTCACAGTGAGGGCAGATAGCGCTTCGATGAGGTCCCAGACCCTGGCGCCCATCCTCTTTGCCTGAACACTGCCGGCGCCATGCAACGTGACCGCGGCTCGGTACTCTTTTCGGCGTTTTTGCACATCGTTCCGCTTTTCAAATACATCAAGGTCTCGTTCTGTCGGGTACAAGGGCGCCTTTTCGTCTCGTGTGAATGTAGCGTTGCGCAGTATCGTGTGAAGAGCGTCGCTCTGGCCTGCCAAGTCGCCGTACGCTACGCGGGCAAGATTCTCTCGGATGTGTCTAGGCTGGTAGCTTTTCTCGTAGACTCGTGACGTGTTTGACAAAATGTAGTTTCTCAAGGCTGGGGTAAGAGGTCCTATCATCCGTCAGCGACTTGATCATGGACATCGTGTGAGTGGAATGTAAAAGGTCTCACCGTCAAGTCGACCGCCAGCACCGACGCGCATTGCATACGGCCGGAGGCCTTCTCGGCAGCCCATAACGAAGAGCACACGCTGCCAGATTTTCCAGAAACATCCGTACTGTATCGGAATGATTGGTTCATCAAGAATCTCTTCCCTCCAGTGCAACCTGGCGTAATCTGCGTCTTCCAGATTAGGTCGTGCAAGCAAGCTCTCGAACGAGTCGAATGCAGGATCGAAGGCATCGTCGAAAAGCGCACGAGCGACGAGAGCGCGCAAGATGCAGACCTTCTCACAAGGTACAGAGAGGACGGTGAAAGAGATACTGTATTTGAGTGTCAGTCATTGCCCTGGGAAACATGATGAGGCACTCACATGTCGTCCTGGGAAGTCTGTGCTTTGTTGGCCTGCCGCTTGTTCTGTTCCACGTTGATTGTGGCCGTGAGAGCTGTTCGCTCATGGTCTTCGGGATCTCTGACAACGGCCATCTCGATGTCGCGATACTTGAAGTTCATCAGAGTCCCCAGCCTCCAGCCTCCGAGGCTATCCAAAAGGACAGTCGTGTGGACGGCTAGACGAGTAGCAGCGCTACAAGGGATATCACTCGCACGAGTCCATAGTGTATCGATGAACGTCAAGATGTCGTCGATCGTCGCTTCTTTTTTGACAAACGTCTGGCGCCGTTCAAGATTATACTTGTCTGCAAGGCCGCCCTCGATCCACTGTCACTTCGTCCATTAGCACAGTACACAAAAGGGAGGCAACGAGGAGGTGGTTACTCGCCTTTCGGATCTTACTCGCTGGCTTACTTGCAAACTCGTCCTTCTTGTGATACATGAGCTTCCATGCAGGATTGGCGGGGTCTTTCCATCGTTTCTCCTGCAGTACTCCTCGCTCAGCTGCACCGACGAGGTTGTCCCAGAGGTCAAGAACACTATTCGCTGACTTCACCAGCCGGACGTTGACGGCTTCTTGTTTGCCTAGGGTCAAGCAAGGCCGGGCAGATCTCCTGACGTAGCTTTCGATGAATGCCTGGCAGACGCTATCGGCGAGCTTCGAGTCGAGACAGAAATCGATTATGACTCGTTCCGGGTCTTGCCCAGCATCCTCCGTCACGAACCTGTCACACGTGGACCGTCAGTGATTTCTTGCATTCTCGCGGAACTCGGCTTGAGCCCGCCTGTTTGAAGGTCACTCACTCAACCCAGGCCCGCCATGCCTTGTCCTGCGCAGACTGGGCTTTCTTGCTCAGCTTTCTGCGATCCGGAAGCGGGCTCTGCAGGTAGGCCGCTTGCATCTCCCGAAAGGCATTTCGCCTGGATTCCAGATCCTCTGGGAAGAGTTCGACTTCCTCGTGCGGCGCAGAGAACTCCTCGCAGAACATTTCGTACAATTCATCTTGGTCGCTGCCGGGTTCCGGGCCGGCGATGAGGGTCTCGCCGAAATCTGTCGAAAGGTCCGCCATGGCGCGCGAACGGTAGAATAGCGAGAAGGCTGTATATGCGATTGTGAACGAGTGGCTTCTGGGAAGCGAAAGTGAAAGACGGCCGAGAAAAGAAAGAAAGAGAGGGAGAGAGAGGCAGAAACCACGGAGGGCGGACGGGCATGGTCGGGAAGGGGACAGAGAAGGCAAGCAGAGGGCCAGCGGCCCAACACGCAGCCCCCTTCCCCCCTCTCCCGAGCTTGGCCCATACCTCGTCGGATATGGAACATGACGAAGGGGCTACAACGTAAGAATTGGCAGCGAGGCGACGCCCAGAGGGCCGGGGGAGGAAGATGGCGGGGGCGTGAGAGAAAGCCGATTTCGTCGGGGCGGGTGGGCGGATTGAAGTAGTTTACGGACGGAGGACGGTACGGGGGCGCGAGGGGCGAGGCGCAGCCGGGCACCGTTTTGTGGGCTGAGTCATCCGGGATCCCGCTCTTCTAGATGAGCCGGCCCTCATTGGCTTATCTATGGGAGAGCGGACGGGATCCCGAGTTTTCCAATGGGTATGGTCGTATGTGTCAGAAGAACGAGGCAGAGCCGAACATATGGTGACGGCGGGAACTTGGTGATGCTGGTGTTGCGGCTCTGCCATTCGTCCCCACAACCAATTTGGGGAGCTTTGCGAATGAGTCTGACCCTTTTACTGAAGTTTTGTCCTTTCTTCAAGGTCTCTATATGTTTTTTTTATATAATGTGGTGTTTGATGATATCAATTTGCCTCGCGCTCTTGGCCTGATCATTTCCCCCACTTTATTGCTGAAGAACTGAGTTGACAAAGGGATGAAGAAATGTTGTAAACTCCATCTAAATGACACGAACGCATTCTCATCAACTTCTTGTTCTGCACAATGATGGTTTCATGGCTTCTAAGTGCTTGTGTCATACGACAGGGATACGAAACTACCACCGCCACCTGAGCGGCACGAGAAAGTACAATTGGAAAAGGCCACTCGATACCGATCTCATTCTCATCTCGGGTAGAACAACTATACCCAAGGCTTCTATTTTCGTCAACATTCTCACCAAAATCATGTCCTACATTCCCGGATTGCTAATGAGCATGGCACCCAATCATACTTGAAGATTATACGGGAAGGCATGGTGTTTGCCGGACATTGCGACAAACAACTTATCGGCAAGGCCTTTATTTTGTTCAACCTCGGTCTTCACGTTTCGTTTACAGCTTCAGGTGCTCGCGACTACCGAAATGGACAGGGTTTTCGGAGCCCATGTTTGCGAATTGACAGGACGGTGAATACTTGTAGGTATGGTTTCTGCTTGGTTGTAGAAAGGCAAGGTCGGGGAATCTGCTAGAGATCTTCGGGTCAGCTAGCGAGTCTCGAGCGTTAACAATATACACAGAAGATCGAATCATGAAAATGTGAGTACATCTAGTCAGGAGGAGGGACAGGCGCGAGAATGATCACGAGTTCCCCGCACCGTCGAGACTGCGGAGGAATGAATTGGGATAGTTAAACTTTTAAAGAGAAAGCCATGCTGGGATAAAGGTACGAACAAAATGTGTTACGGTTGGCTTCACAAAGGTCTCTACTTTTCCTCGTTTTCGCACGTAGTTTAGTTTGATACATATTTGGAACCAGGAAAATGGCCTGGCAGAAGGCGTTTGTAAGAGGGGTATCCTTCAAGATAGTCCTCTTACAACAGCATCATCTTTTTACTGGAGTGCTTTACTTCTATCATTGGACAGCATGCTATACGACAGAACTTGAGCCGCGCACTGGAAACTGGTCGAGGCGATCTTCAAACCACAATTACTCCCTCAAAAAGTACATGGAAGTGGTTTCCTCGGCTTTCGGGGAGAATGGGAATATTCGCCTATGTACTTCACCCAGGTTTCACTTCGTACATGTATCCTTTGAGACGGTCGCCTCAAACTCTACAAGGTCACTCTTCAGCAGCTCTCATGTATTACTTGGCTGCTATGGACCGAGGTTCATCTCTCGACGCGAGTATAGAAGCTGCGTACTTTAGTAGAAGATGCAATCTAGTGCTATAATCTTGCACCTGCACGCTCCAATCTCGTATGACCTCTAAAAATAAAACCCGCAAGTTGACGTGATCTCTGTCTGCTATTCCTCATGTAATGTACAGCCATAAAGCCCAGTATGGTCGACCCGCCCCTGCGGAGCGAGGTAGCTACGCTTCAACATGGGCTTTGGCCATAGATCCAGGAATCCCAAGGTCCGCAGCAACACCTATAGTCTGGAAGAAGAATTCCCAGCCCTGACTGAATGTCAAAACGGAATCCCAACAAAACACTCAAAGTTTGATCAAGTGCGAAAATATCGCACACAACTGTTATATTAGAAGCCAAAGTGAATTTCGTTGTCTACTCATGTCTTGAAACTGCACGCATGAGTTTGCGGGTAACACCGAAGGAGCGCTCAGGGTGAAGGGGGAGGAGATTACACAACGAGTGGAGGGAAAACAGACTTGTTTGGTCCAGAATAGGTAGTCAAGCCTAGCTTGAAAACTTAAGTCTCTTGGAGAACCAAGGTGACACTGAATGGCCTAGGTCGTCCGCTTGGAGATATATATATATATATATATATATATATATACGTGAACTGCATAACTGTGACTGGAGTTTCTAGCCGAAATCAAAGAATTTGAAATCGAGACCTCTGCAAAGCTACATTTGGTCCAACCGAGTCGGATGTGGCAACATCTTAAAAAGGTACAAAAAAGTCGCCAAGAGGGATAGAGAATAGCTCCACGGTTGCTTCAGGACTTGGTGCTTCAATCATCCAAGGTAAGCTCGCCTCGGAAGGCCGGACGGCTACGTTCCCCACTCTCATTGGACCGGCGCCGATCCGGATGGAACCATGAAGCCGAACCCCCGGGAGCTCCGGGGTTCGGGTGTCCCCTGTCAGACCCCACCATAGCTCCGCCAGTGTACCTACTTCGACATTGACGGAGTGCATCATCGTGAATGTCTCACTCGGAACACGCACACATGCAATATGGTAAGGTAAGCGGTCTGGCTAGTTCGGATAATACGCAACAAACGAGCGCACTTTGTTAACGTTGTGTAGTTGCAGGAAGCAGTCAGTGAGAGCTCTTGATATTGACGATGTCATTTCCGAGGACTCGCATGCATGAGCAAAAGTGTTCGGTATAATGAAAAGCGATCCAGTAGTAGTGGTTGCGGGACTCCCCTCGCAACCTTTTACAGAGGCGACCGTTGATGTTGCAATGTTCTCACATTCGATCAGACCGACAAGCTGATCTACTCAACATTAGAGAGAATGGCAAACTACCCTTGCGCCAGGCTTCAATCATAAATGGAAAACAATGAGCAACTCGCATAAATTGCAGATTCGATGTTCAGTGGCATGTGAAGGAATCACCGACAAGGATGTGCATTACACGCCTTCTGATTGGTTGTGGCAAAGGAGCTTCCAGGCCTAAAGTGCGAGGCTGCGATCTTTTCCCCATAGCCTTGTGGCGCCCACTTCTACCTCTTACAACACAACTTCCCAATCACCTAGTTCTTCCTTCCGCAAATAAAACCCGACAAGCGAGACGCTCCGTCGGGTCTTTGAGACTGCCAAAGAGACATAATCGAGCGACCGAACCCCGACGTACGAAGCAGCATAAGGATCGAGGCCTCCGATCGACGTCATCCATCATGGCTGACTCCGATGGCGAGTACCATGAGATGTCCGACGATGACCTCCAGGTCGCCAACGGGAGAGGCGACGATGCGAGGAAGGGAGGAAAGAAGGGAAAGAGCGGCAACTCCAAGGCGCGGTGGGAGGAGGTCAAGCGAAGTTGGGAGCAAGTCACAGAGGGCGCCGACGGCAGTCTCGCAGTCGGAGCGAGCTTGGAGGCCGAGAAGAGGAGGAGACTACTGAGAGACACAACACCGCTGCAGCGCGGTATCATCAGACATCTGGTGCTGGTGCTGGATATGTCACTCGCCATGAACGAGAAAGACATGCTACCGAACCGCTACCGCGTAGCCTGGGCGTACGCGGCAGACTTTGTGAAGGAGTACTTTGAACAGAACCCAATCTCGCAGCTGGGTATCGTCGGCATGCGGGACGGCGTGGCGCTTCGAATCAGCGAGATGAGCGGCAATCCGACAGACCACCTGGAGAAGCTAAAGGAATTCGAGGGCCAAGATGCGTCGGGCAACCCGAGTTTGCAGAATGCGCTCGAGATGTGCCGTGGTGCACTCTTGTACGTGACAACGCCCACCCCCCGAGCTCTACAGACACATTACTGATTCACATCCAATAGCCACGCGCCTTCCCACGGCACACGAGAAGTCCTCATCGTCTACGGCGCCCTCCTCTCCTCCGACCCCGGCGACATCCACACCACAATAGAATCCCTCATAGCCGATCGAATCCGCGTAACGATTGTCGGCCTCGCGGCGCAGGTCGCCATTTGCGCGGAGCTATGCAGCCGCACTAACGCCGGCGACGACACACAATACAGCGTCTGCATGAACGATGCCCACTTCCGCGATCTCCTCCTCGCCGCCACGACCCCGCCCGTCACCAGGACGGCCGCGCAGAGCACCGCCTCCCTGCTCATGATGGGCTTCCCCTCTCGCACCCTCGCGCAGGGAGAGACGACGGCCGTATGCGCCTGCCATAACAAACCCGCCCGCGAAGGCTACCTCTGCACGCGCTGCGCTACCCGCGTGTGCCGTCTGCCCATCGAGTGCCCCGCCTGTAGCCTGACACTCATTCTCTCCACCCATCTCGCGCGCTCATACCACCATCTCTTCCCGTTGAGGAACTGGGTCGAGGTTCCTTGGGCTGCAGCTGCCAAGTCAAAAGCATGCTGCTCCTGCCTTGCCAACTTTCCGGAACCACCTAAGGCCTCCAAAAAGAAGGACAAAACTAAGGATCAAGATGGCGTTGCTACGACGACTGGTCCGGTTGCGCCGACCCCGGTGAAAGCGGCAGAGCTCAAGGGAGTCAGCGAAAGTGGACGATACGCCTGCACGGTGTGCGATAATCACTTTTGCATCGATTGCGACGTCTACGCACACGAGGTCATCCACAATTGCCCAGGATGCCAAAGTGATACCCGTGGGGCGACGATGGAGGTAATCAACGAGACGAATGGGACGCATGAGCATCAAACCAATGGGACTGCCATGGTGGTAGACTCATGACACCAACAGATCTACGGAACACGGGATATGGGATGGAGGATCTTTGAGGAGATGTGGAGCTCCCATGGTAGAGAGAAGGGAGAGGGAGAGACAGAGAGCAGGGCTCTGGCCAGAAATGGCCGACATTCGGCAGTTTGCATTTGGACAAACGGATGGCAGCATCAACGGAGCACAGGAATTGGAGAAAAGAGTATATCGGCGCAAGGGGTCCGGATAAGGACCATGTTTATAAATATACCTATTGTACCCTACAGAATCCCATCAACATGAGAAGAAAGCTGGCCGAGAGAGAAGCATCATGGACTCATGATCAATACAGTCACGATTGCAAATACGAACAATTGTGACATTGAAATGGGGTTTGACTTGATTTAACTAGCTTCTTCTACCTTTACAGGTTTCCACGCTCGGCCTGCTCACGCTCAATAGCCTCGAACAAGCTCTTGAAGTTACCAGCGCCGAAACCCTCAAATTCATTGCGCTGAATAATCTCAATGAAGACGGTAGGGCGGTCCATCAGCGGCTTGGTGAAGAGCTGAAGCAGGTACCCTTGCTCATCGTAGTCGATGAGGATGTTGAGCGCCTCGATGGTGGCGAGATCCTCCTTAAGCTCCCAGTTGCGCTTCTCCGTCTTGAGGCGGTGGCGGATGGTGTCGTAGTACGTCGAGGGGACGTTGATGAACTCGACGCCGCGGGCGCGCATGGCCGACACGGTGGTAATGATGTCCTGCGTCAGGAGGGCAATGTGCTGGACGCCGGCGCCCGAGTTGAAAACGACGTACTCCTCGATCTGAGACTTCTTCTTGCCGGGCGCGGGCTCGTTGATGGGCATCTTGACCATGTTGTTGGACGAGGCCATGACAATGGAGTTGAGGGCCGAGAACTCTGTGGAGATTTGCGAGTCGTCGACGGACCAGAAGCGGTGGAAGGAGAGGCACTGCTCGTAAAAGGCGCAGGCGGACACCATCTCGTTCCAGGACTGGTTGCCGACGCAGTGGTCGATCCGGGCCAGGGGCACGTTGGGGAGCGTGACGGTTGCCGCGGTGGGCTTCGCGGCGCGGAAGCCCGGGAGGAAGGGGCCGGAGTAGCCGGTCCGGGAGATGAGGGTGTGTGTAGTGTCACCGTAGGTGCGGATGACGGCGGTCAGGACGTTGCCGTGCTCCTTGTCCTTGAGGACGGTGGGAGGCTGAACGGCATCGGCGCCCTCTGAGACGGCCTTGTTGTATACGCCCTCGACATTGTCAACCTCGAAGGCGACGTCCTTGACGGCGTCGCCGTGCTTCTCGAGGTGGGCATGAATCTCGCGCAGGAGCTCTCGCTCCGCGTCTGAGATGGGCTCATCCTCGGGGAGATGGGCCAGGGACCGCACCGGGGAGGTGAACACGAAACGGACGTCGTTGTTGGCGACGGCATACGAGGCAATATACCTGCTGCCCGTTTCAAGGCCCTTGTATGCTACGGTTTTGAAGCCGAAGAGAGTAGTGTAGTAAGCAGCGGCCTGCTTGGCGTTGCCAACCCACCAGGTTACGTGATCGTAGCCCTGGAAGTTGGGCGGCGGAAGCTGCACTGCGAGTCCATCGCCGAGATCTGTTGATGCCGGGTAGGCGGCGTTCTGTGGCGGGGAGTCTGTGATTGCAGAAGGGGACATTGACACTCAGAAGTTTTCGGGGGTGACAGGACTAGGATCGAGGAGGGATGGGTGTGTGTAAGTACGTTGAGGTTCTCTGATAAGAGGCAGAGTCGATGTTTAATCTAGTGAGATAGTAAACGTTGCTGGTTGAGGAAAGGGGGGGGGGGAATTGTCCGTGTTATGTACGTCGTACCGTCCATTCTACATGTACCAAGACACTGACACTGTATTATCAGATATGAACCTTATTCAACGACGGACTTCCGCCTTTGGAGGACAAGGACTTCAGTAATCCTGCATTCCACGCCCGCAGATTGGTGGCTCCCCGTCGCCGCATCTAACGCTTGCCACTGGCTGACCTTCCCTCCCGGGCGGGGGTGGTCTCTGTATCCTGTCTCCGTTCACAGTCCCTGCGCATGGTAATACGTGACGGGACGGGCGCCATCCTGGAATGGCTTCGATTCCTGGCAGTAGCGTCCCGAAGTAGAAGGAGAGGTTGGCAGCGGTAAAGCGTAGAGCCGGCGGTACAGCGTTGAGGTGAGATGCCAATCGCAAGCGGAAAGGCGCCGGCCGAGTGTGATGGCCGCAGTGAGCCGCGATAAGCCGCCGCTGGCCGGCCCATGTGCGGCGCGGCTTTGACGGGTTCCCCACCATGCTTCGGATGCTCCAGGCTATGCCCGCCATCCCGCGCAGCACCCTCCCAGATCCCAACCTGGAAAACAAAGAACATGAGGGCACAGGCGACCAAGCCGCTGTTTCCGTTCATCCTGGGGAGACGTTTGGGCTCTCTTCTTCAGGGATGGGTGGGGTACCCACCATGACGGCATGCCTTATCGCACCGCCTCTGAAACCCTTTCGTAGCCGTCGCAGTGCGGAATGTTAGGACCTGCTGCTCGGCCCCCCGCTGGAGCCGCTCGGAAAAGGTTGCGTCTGATAAAGGTTGCTGTACTGCCTGCCAGGACTGGCAGTGCAAGTCACTTTTGAATTCGGGAAAACGTGTAGTCGCTCAATCGTCACGTATCGGAAAAAAGTTCGATTTATCTCGAAGCTGTTCCTTCGACAAAGAACATCAGTATTCCTTCTCAAACTGTTCAATCTCCAATTCAACACTGCAAAATGGCATCCGTGGACCTGACTCGACGAGATGTAAACGTACTTGACAAGATCAAGGACCCCGAATCCGATCCCTCGGCGAACGTCCTCCTCGACCCATCCCTGCCCCGGGATCCTCACATCGCTGACGCCGCCGTCTATGAGCGTGTGATACAGAAGGAGCGCGAAATTATTCTGTCCATGCAACAGCTCGAACTTCAATTGGCAGGATTGCGACCGAGAACTGTATCCGAGCCGGTGCAAGAGTACAAAGGCCTTCTCTCGAAGCTCGACGACTTCATCGAAGAGTATCCCAACTATGCCAGCGCGAGGAACAACCGCGTACAGGCACTGAGGCGGCTGTACGGAGACACGATGCTATTAGCGGGAGCACCATCCACGCCGCAGCGACTCGTCCAGGCACCCGAGACCGCCGAGTTGATCCAGTACTCAAAGACCGCTCTGGAAGACACTGAGAGGTCCATCTCCCTCTTGACGCCGCGCACGATGTTCGGCGCCATGTCGCCTCAGGCTGCCAAGACCCTGTCGCTGGCGTACACGCAGCGCGCCGCCATCTACCACATGACTGCCAAGCTCGTAGAAGAGCACGGAGTGCAGCTCGCCGAAGGGAGGCGAGAAGCTAGCTGGACGAAGCTCGTGTTCGAGGAGGCGGCGTCTCGGGACTTTACCTACGGCGGAAGATACGGCAACGAGATCGCCAAGGGTCTGGCAGTGAGCACGAATCCCACGGCGAAGCTGTGCGGGCAGATGGTTCGGGAGGCGATGAAGAAGGAGTACGGGCCGTCCTACGGCGAGTAAAGGGTATATGTAGTATCAATAACTTGTGAATGCAAGCCAATGCGGTTGAGGCGTTACGTTTCCTCCCTTGCCCATGGCTATGATGATGAGTGCCTATGCGGAAGCTTTGAGAGGCCCCAGACGTCTAGAAATCCAGTTGATTTAGTTATGGGCTCGCATCAGTGTACTGCTGATAGCCTTCATACCTTTTCGCCGCAGCAATGGTCTCCTGCGTAGTCCTGCCCTTTTCCTTCTCCTCGCGGTTGATTCTGGTCGCAGCGGCACCAAGTCCAATCACCAAGGCGAAGATGGGGTCAGCGACCTTGGAGATGATGTACGCAGGAGGAGCAGCCATGATGTGTGTTGTGGTGTATCGTCGTCGCGTGAGGTCGCGTCGTTGGGGGATGTGGTAAGCCTGGACTGTTGTTGAAATGGATCGGAGGAAGTTCGTCAAGAGCTCCGTGGTCAGCTTGGGAAGTGGAGCAGATTCATGGCCGTACACGGTACCTGTGCCAGTCGAGCTACAGCGCGGACGCCGGTCAATGGAAGCGTCCTTCCATTACAAACGACCCCCACTTGCAGCACCACCCACCACCATTGATTCGCCTATTCCCCAGTAAAACTCGAACCACGTGACCGGGCACATGCTTAGGTCCCTCCCTCCCACGGATCAATTTTGAAATTTCCTCTAGGTTATCAAATCCAGGCTCTCACGTCGCAGCAACTTTCACCAACCGCCCAGTACGCCCAGCACCCACCGACAGCGCAGGTCAAAATGAAGTTCCTCAAGGTCGGCAGAGTCGCCATCATCACCCACGGCCGTTACGCCGGCAAGAAGGTACGATTACATACGAAAATTCTCGAGAAAGCCTACCCCGTCGCAGTACTATTTTCACCCAACTTCGCGAGAAGGAGGGGTGTGGATGAAGACAACCCGACATCGACGCCGAGGAGTGTGAAAGTGTTTGGTCAGGGAATCATGGGGGGAAATTATGGCGACAACTACACGAAACGATTACGAATTGCGAAAAAAGAGGAGGGAACACCGGCCGACCAAACACTTTTCTGCTTCTCGAGCGTCCGATGATTGAGGGCATCTACGAAAATTACTACAGAGGAGGACAACGGTGGACTTTGTTGGGCGACGACGCTCACACACGCAACGAACCCGAGCCATTGCTAATGTTCCTCTCTGCAGGTCGTCATCATCCAGCCTGTCGACTCTGGCAACAAGGCTCACCCCTTCGGCCACGCCCTGGTCGCCGGCATCGAGCGCTACCCCTCCAAGATCACCCGCCGCATGTCCAAGACCCGCCAGGACAAGCGCAACAAGATCAAGCCCTTCGTCAAGCTTGTCAACTACAACCACTTGATGCCCACCCGCTACACTCTCGAGCTCGAGGGCCTCAAGGGCGTCGTCAGCAACGACACCTTCAAGGAGGTCACCCAGCGTGAGGATGCCAAGAAGCAGGTGAAGAAGGTTCTGGAGGAGCGTTACACGAGCGGAAAGAACAGATGGTTCTTCACGCCTCTGAGTATGTCACTCTCTTCCCCACGTCGATCGTGTGCTATTATTTCTCGGGGGGTTTCCTCCCCCCCGGATCAGAGGCTACGGCGTCGAATATTGATATCCCATTCACGTACTAACAACCATCGCGCAGGATTTTAAAGGACAAACCGTTTTCTGCAATCGTCAACAGGTCGGGGAGTTGGGCTGGCTTGTAAAGAGCATCAATTGGCATTTGAGGTCCTCGGTTTAAGGGCTCTCCCAATGACAAACCATTGAAATCCAAGACGTTTGCCCTGTGATACCTCAACAAATGGAAAAAATGCCGCCGCTGCTGCTGTGACCGGAAGAGTGATAGACACAAAAGAAGATGAGATTTAAAAGGGGTCAAGGGTCTATGATGACTGATGGGTATGATTCAGCCCTCGGCCGTGGGATGGCCATGATCAATGGAACATGAAATAAGCAAGTCAAATCAACCTTTTCCAGCCAACGTCGAGTCGTGATACCTTGCTATATGCTATTCTGCGCGCGTGCTTCCAATTTCATCAGGTTTGAGTGCTGCGTCGGTGCCCACCACCACCGCTCCAGGTGCTGTACCCGACCCACATTGATTGTTGCACAAAATATTGCAACCCACCCACACAACCCTCTACGACAAGCCGAGACCGAATTGCTGAAACCGCGACTCACGCTAGATGTTGATACCATCGTCGTTTAGATTGTGCATTTTCCTGTGGCACAAGTAATGGCGACTGGCTTGACGTTGGCCAACTTTATTTTCTGGTCTACTACGTCACAATCAACGTGGGTAGCGGGAAGCCAGAACCGCCTTTACTGGCCCAACTTCCATTCGCATAACCACTCAAAGATTCCTAGCGAACGGTCTCAAGCGAGCCGAGTTACTGGCATGCATATCTCGAGTCACCTACACATCGCATAACATGTCACCAGTAATTTGTTTGCGGACTACCTCCATCTTTTGCTTTAAGCTTTGTGTATCATTGCGTACGTACATGTCTATATCCTCCTCCGTCTAGAGTACATCAGATTAGAACTTCATGATGCAAGCTATGCAACCTGGACCTTTTTGCGCTCTGCGCCGTTGCTCTATAGCTGTACACGGGTGTAACTCCCCAGTCAAACAAAAGTTGGTTCCGTTTTCCGGATTAAAAAAAGAGAAGGAAAATAAAAAGAGGTCAACAGTGCACACGGGTGAAACGAAGTTCGTAATATGTACTCAGAACAGGGTAATCGTCGCGTAGAGAGAGTTTGGTATCATCACATCTCTACGCCCACAAATAGGAAAATGACAGGCTAAAGAAAAGATGCTATCGCCTTCTATCCCATAATCTATGCCCTGCTGCTGCCAAAGTGGCTGTTGACCTCGTTGATGAGGTTGTGAGGGTCGTACTCGGGAGCGTACGTCGGTGCCAGGCCGCCAAGCATGGTGAAGAGCACGAAGGCGGAGAACACAATGATGGTAAGCTTGCGGAGAATCGGCTTGCGCTGGCCGAACTCAGCCCACTGGCGACCGCCCTCGCCCATGTAGCCCTTGATCTGCTCAAAGCCGAGCTTGTAGTAGACCATGCCACCGAGGGCAATGCTGTATCCGAAGAACTGGAGACCAGACACCTGAGTGCCCCAGATGGCCATGGAGGCGGCAACCAGCATGACATCCTTGAGGACACCGCAGAGAGTCAGGACCAGGGAAGAGGTCTTGCCGATCTGGAGAAAGAGTTAGCAATGATGATTGGCCGAGTTCGGAGACAGCAAGACTCACCAAGAAAACGACGGAGACGTTCAACAGGAAAGCGCAGAGACCGTTCAGGAAGAAGGTGAACAGGCCGACGTTGTAAACCTGATCCATGGTGACCTTGGGAACCTCCCAGATGAGAGCAACAGCCAAGTTCATGACAGCGCAGATGGGAGCAAAGTAGTAAACGGAAACCAGGGGGTCCATCTTGTAGTCGGCAGAGCTGAGCAGGCGCTGGACCATGGTCAAACGCAGGGCCTCGAAGATGACACCACCAATCTGGAAGATGACACCAATCCAGACGAACTTGATCTCACCCATCGAAGCGATAATGACACCGACAACGATAACGGAGACGTTCAGGAAGACCTTTAGGTTGGGCGTAGAGACACCGAGGGCCCATCCAGAGAGGAGAACAGCGACGGGGGTCGTAGCCTTGAGCATCTGGATGAAAGCGACCGACAGGTATAGGTAGGTCAAGTTACCACAGATCAAGCTCAAGCTGAAGAAGACGCCGATGGGCACGATGGCACGCACGTAGACACGGCCAGTCATCTTAACCGACTTGCGTCCGTCGAGAACGTGGGTCCAGCGAGCAAGGATCTGGGTCATGATGGTCGCGAAAGTCAAGTGGTAGGTTGTCAGAATAACCGGATAGCCTGTAGTCAATCAGCGTGCTGTTCGAAGCTCCAAGCTTTCGTCTCGATCGGCTTACGGAAGTTGAGAGTGTCGAGAATCCATTTGTTGAACAGAATGACAGATGAGGACAGCGAGATCCAGACACTGCGAACAAATTGGGTCAGTAAACTATCGCAGCAGCAGTAAATAGAATCTCTGGATTCTTACATGACGTAGAGAGCGGGATGGATCTGAGGACCCTTGGACTGAGGAGAGGACTTCTCGGCGTCCTGGTTCGTGGTAGGCAGGATAGAGCCATTCTCTCCACGAGGAACCTCGCCTGAAACGCGCGTCTTCTCGTCGGCACCCATTGTGACGGTTTGGTGTGCGGAATGGGGGAAAAGAAGTAGGGGACGTGTAGTTGAGGCGGACGGAGATTTGATTGAGGTCGTCGGTATTGCGGTTGATGTTAATGCAGGAGCAAGTTGATACAGCTCGAGGGCAAAAAAGACGAGACGCGCAAAAACGAGAGCGAGCGAGTGGACGGGACGGCCAAGCAACTCGTTAAAGGTGTCGTGGGGTAGGCGACAGGTGCTTTAACAGTATGCGATGGGGGGTCCCAAAGTTAGACGTTAACGGACACCTGTGGTGGTACCTGAGCCGGTTCAAACCTTGGAATGGGGCTGAGCACGGCTTTGTGAATCTGTAACCTGTGGTGAAGGAGGAATGAGAATCGAAAGAAAAAAAAAAAGCCGAAAGCAGGAAGCTCTTGACAACCACGACCCTACGGGAAGAGTTTAATAGAGGTCTGAAAAAAGAGGACAGCGGCTACTTGGAGAGGGTGTTGGGAAGGGAAAGGGGAAGAAGGAAAGAAAAAAAGAGGAAGGGGGTGGGTAGGCGAGGTTGTAGTGCAGCAAAGATATGGATGCCCCCCGGCAATTAGCAGCGATGGGCGTGAGTGAAAAAAAAAATCGATTTCTTCGTCTGTAGTGTATTCGTAGGTATTTCCCGCCCCTCTCTCTCTTTCTTTTGCCTTTTTCCTTCCCTTCTCTGTGGTGTGTTTACCGCATACTGTGTAGTAGGTACGTGTGTAGTTGCGTAGGTACCCTCTCTCCTTGCTCCTGCTCTTGTTCTGGAAATTGGGGTTCACGTTGACGCGATCAAGCCCGCCCAATCCAGGATCCGGCAGGCGATGTACAGTCACGGATACTTGGTAGAGTGGGGCGGCCTACCCGCCAGCAGGTGTTGGCACCTTGGCCGGAGCGCAGCCCGCATGTATCTGGTACAGGGACACGATACCCACGTCCCACTCTGCAACTGTGAGGGAGAGAGCAGGATGGAGGGGGGAGCCACTTGTCCAGACAGAGACTCCAGACTGCCAGTGTCGGCCGTGGCAAGCGTGGGTGCGACTGCGTGGTACGCCACCCTCTCAGGGGCTCCGATGGGACTAATATTAGTGCTGCCAATCTTGGATAGGGGCCGCAAATCAAGCTCTGCCCGCTCACCCACGTTCTGGTCCTTGGCATCTCACCAACGACGTGACTAAGGTAAGGTACCACGGCACCTGGCTTTTTCTCTCTCTGTCTCTCTCACACCTCAGAAGTCAGAACCTTGAACCATAGTGGATGAGCAGGTCGGACGACGGCGATGGCGCTGCCGATAGAGTTAGGAAGGTCGTTTCTGCATGGCTCAGCACAGCAATAGCTATGAAGATCAATTGTTGCGAAGCGGTGCTTGACTCTTGTCTATGAACCCTCATGAAAGTGTCCCGCTTGCTATGGATACCTTCAAGAACACTACCACCACCTAGTCCTAATGAGACTCGAGAAACAGTATATTGTGTCAGGCACTCGATATTACATTGGATGCAGCTCCTGTTCCCTTGGGCTGCAGTCTGTAAGGATACATGTACCTTGCAACCAATCCGGCCGTTTACAGACCCAGTACCATCACCACCATTATCCATACAAACTCCCATTGTGCTATCGCTGCTGTGCTAGGCGAAAAGAGGCTCTTTCTGTTGGTTGAGAGAATTGGACGATTGCTCCGAAAGGAGGGCCAAGCCACCCCGGCCTCGCCTCAGTCTTGCAGTCTCACACTTCGGGCCTTGACCTTACAGCCGCAGCTAAGGCAGGTCTCGGTCAGGTCTTATCGCCAGGGTCCAAATGACATCTCTATGCGTTTGTCACTTGTGGTAGTGGCATCGTTCTCGTCAAGTCTATCTGCTTAGTAAGGCCATGGTCTCTACGGAGTAGCCATGTGATAAACAAGCCCGCCTTTAAACTCTGGAACTCGGACGGATCGTTAGAGCTAGTATCCGTGAGGTAGGTATACAAACTGCCATATATGACTATATTTGGTGACCTCGGTTGTGTATCTGAGATCTGGATGCACTATCTCTCAACGCTGCAATTTAAAATGATCTCAAAAATAAGCTAGAAGCCGCAGGAGGAAAGAAGAGAAGAAACTTGCTTCCCTTGGAGGGAGGCTCATGCATTAGCACCATCCATAGCATCCGTAGTCTGTACGGCTTCTTCCCGTCTTCGTTATTCGAACATGTCAACATGATGGCCTCAATCCTAGTATTGTCACCTTCCTCGGTTGTAATCAATGTCAGACTTGCGCTTGCTTTACTGGTTACAGACCCTTCTCGCACACGTGCGGTTCAACACCCCTCCTTAGGTTCCTTCCGTCACTATCCGCATCAGTTAGTGCTTCCTTCTCGCTAGGTAAGGTGCCTTAGGATCACGGTGCCTTCCAGGTTTGCGCGGGTAAGACCGCTCCGGATGGGATGCCGTCTGTAGTCGCACCTTCCATGCCACTTGCATTTCCACATCTCAGAGTCTCAGACCCCCAAGATGTTGTCTTCTCTTCCTGGGTCTTTAACCTGCGAGGCACCTTGACGCCTGGGACAAGTACGGAATACGGACAAGGTCCCCGAGGTATTACCCGACCCAGCTTGTCGCCTGTACATGCAACTCAACTCACTCTTCCGTTTTCTGTCGCCTGTTTCCAAGTTGATTGCCCTTTCATCCCACGAGTCGCGAGTTGGTGGGTCCCCCAGTATTTTGCACTTACGGCCGGCCACCTTACCCCAACCTGGTTTTTGGATCGTCCAACGACTGACAAGCACAGTCCTCGCTCTCGTTCACAGTTGTGGTTCTCGTCGCCAACAAGGACCGAATCCGTCGACATGTCGGTCATCAGTGTACCAAATTGGTGATGAGTTGTTCCGGAAAGCGGAATCCGGGACGTGGGTGCTGGTCTATGGGTCGTGGCTTCAAGCTGCCCCCTGGTCCTCCCATCGCCCTATTCTTAAAGATGGGACGCCGTCTTCGCCATGCCACGCCGTGAGGCGCCTTTCGGGTTCCCTCGAACAGATGACAGATCGTGGACACCGGCCGCTTGGGTCATTTGGGCCCGGGAGGCTGAAGCTTGCTCGTCTCAAGCCCTCCATGCTTTCGGCCATCATCTCCCGGCCCCGAAGAGTTCATTACAACTTCTGCGTCCAGCCAGGTATCACTTCAGCCTTATTCATACTGCCGTTTGCGTGGCTGCCACACTTACCGTACCAAGTCATTTCTCAGTACGATCATGTCCAAACTCAACGGTGGCGGGTGCCGTGTGGCATGTAGCATGTGGCATGTGGCACGACAATTCAGACACCGGAGCCGACAACTAAGCCTCGACTCGACATGCCGTTTCTGCAGATGCAAACCATCGATATGTGGTGCCCTCAGAAAGCTTTGATTGTGTGTTTGCGACCAGGCTGCTACTTCCATCTTGGAAAGGCTGGCACGGCTGGCAAAGATCATTGGGCCCATTCGGCTGGATCTGCTAGAAGGGCCGTGGACTTTGGCTTGCATCTCCTTGATGTTGCTATTTGTGTTTTTGGCCGCGGGGTTGCAGCTTGCTGTACTGCATCAACCCGTAACCTAAGCATACAACACCAGGTATCCGAATATTCATCAGACGAAAGTACCTCCAGGTCGCTCGATGCTACATATTCGTACTCGCTCAATGAGTGATCACAGCCTCGATACCAAGCATTCTGTCAGCCAAAGTCTCCGCTGCAATTCTCCAGCTGGAGCTGCTGTTATTAGAAACCCAGTGTTTGGAGTGCTTCCCTGAATCGGCGGCTGATCAAGTCGAGGTTCATGCGGTGCCCGAAACTGGCCAGGCTGATCTACAAGAGGCCCAGTTTGTCTGTTTCAGAGTATTGATGAGATGGGTCCCGTACCCCTGTGCCGGCTGCCGGGCAGGGCACTCCAGCAAATGTCTTGTTCGGGGGAGAGGCCGTCTTTCAATACTGGAGTACGGAGTATGGAGGTGGTGCTGGGGACGACACGCGTGCGCGAATGCACGCACACGGAGATGCCTACCAAATGGACCACTTGCCAACTGACGGACCGATGTTCAACAGTTGTTGATCGACTTTCACAGCCTCCTTTGCTGCTCCGCAGATGAGAGGCAGGGGCAATCCCGCATTGGGATGGAAACGTCAATCGCCAACAACGAAAGCTGGGCCAGCTGGCAAGGGACCCAGAACGGCGTCTGTTTGTAACAACTACCGACGGATCGAAATTAAGTCGGCCTACTCCATCAACAGTCCAACGCGGACCCAGCGGTGACGACAACTGACTAGGAGTGAAGAGAGAGCACTGGAAGATTTCCCAGATTGCTGGATGTTCAAACGGTGGCACTTGGCCCGAGTGTTGTCTGTCTCTTAGTCCCTTGCACTGCTTTGCCCTGGCTCATCTTATTTCCTTAGTACACAAAGCACGACAAGCTCACTGGCTCCGTGGGGGGAACATGGGCGTTGGCAAGGCGAGAAGAAATAAGAAAGACGGACGTCAAATCTCTCGAGGCGACGATCGCTGGCTGAAAGGCGAGATGCAGACCACCTCGCACCAGCGCGGGAAACAACGATATCCCTGCCCGCATCTTGATTGGCGATGCACGAAGTTGATGAAAATGAGCAGATGGAACATGGGCTTTTACACGCAGGCGATTGGAGAGCCCCATCCCGCTAGGATAAAGTGCGGGTAGAGGCGACGGGACTCTGAATCACAAAACTGCTGGCGTCCCTTTTCGGCTTGTCTTACTGGCGCAGAAGCAGAAGTAGCTTGAGGCGCGCCGGCATGAACGTGGTCCAAAACGTTGACGGATAACACGTTTCGGCTTTGTGTACTTATTCGTATGGAGCAAAGGTACGGCTGGGTATTTGTCTGAGACTCAGACTCGGTCTTGGACGCGTACCCGACTCGTGGAGAACCGCCGAGTTGTCGCCAGGCCGAAATGGTTCATAATAAGCCATGGTGTCATTGCTGCCGTGCGGGACAACAAATTGAACAAATTGAGGCAAGTTTGTTTTGCTGCATTGCATGACGGGTTCTTGACGAGCTGCAGCGTGCCCACGTAGGTGGGATTGCGCTCATCTTATGAGATTACACTGAGCAGGGTTCCGTTATCGAAGATATCGCAACTCGGCTTAGGGCTCTCAAATCTAGACAATCTCAAAGAAGGCGGGCTGCAACAGGTCCAGACTACCTTACCTCAGGCGCCCCGTACTTCATGTCACCATGGAGGCTCTATAGCATGCGAATCAAACCACACGAAAACGTGGTCGACCATCTGGCTAATGTCCGAGAGATAGCCAAGATGAGTCGAATCCTTCCCCGGCCAACCATACCAACTTGGTTGGTCAAACCCCACGGTCCACGAAAGGATGACACTGTGGCGGGAGCGGCAGCGGCAGCGGAAGGTACACAGACACACACGTAAACAGTGACAGGTGAAGGCTTGAAGCCCCGAAGTATGAGAGTTTGAGCGAAATGACGGACGGCAGCTGCCCGACTGGGAAATGGAGGCGAAAACAACGTGTGAATGCAGATTGACAGTGGATTTGAGTCGAATTATCAAAAATTATTAGCGCAAGCCACATCGAAGGTCGAACCCACCTCCGAATAGCGGAGGGATTGGCACGCCAGCATCTGCCATCCGGGAACTGACAGTTCACGGGTCAGAGAAGCGCCGCTCATTGCCAGGATAGTATAGAACGGATTCAGCCAAACACTTTTTTGGGCAACGGCCGAAGTTGTCGAAGACTAGGTGCTTAGAGCAACAACGAGTTAGCCCGAAGAGGATCGTGAACTTCAGGAGCCAGCACAGGATCTGCGTTGCCGGGAGTCCGGGACAGGGTAAGGAGCGGCAACGGGCAGCAAAGCCAGCACCAACAGCGTCCGACAAACTGATGGACAATTGGCCATTCGGAAGCCTTGCTTTGACGGCAGGACCAGGGACCCTGCAGAGGACGAGAGGGAGAGGCACAGAGGGTTGCTGTCGATGCCCTTGGGTCTTTCTGACCCCTCTCTTCTGGTTTGCCGGCAGCTGATGAACGTGCAGCATCGACGGGACCAACATACTGTATCCCCGACGGGAGGCGGTCAACAAAAGACGTGCAGATAGGTTACCATCGCCTTGGCGGTCTGTCACCGTCTATGAGAAGGTGGGTGGGTGTTGACTGGTGGGTGCTGCGGCGCGCGAACGGTGTGCATCGCCATCGAGGCCGAATTAGATTGGAGATTTTCATCAATCATAATGATGAGCAGCGGCCATGAGGCGTGTGTTTCCAAGTTTCGCGACGACCCTCCTACGACTACGGGTACGCTCGACACAGATTCGAGATTGGGTTGTGAACCTTGTGGGCTCTTCCCTGTGCCCGTCTGTCGTTGATTACACTACGGACGATCTGCATGTTTGGAAAGTCAATCTCTCTGAGATGTCAAATTGGTAGGGTGACTTGGGTAATAAGTCTGCTGCAATCTGCTCTGCTTGTTCCCGTCATGCCTGCCCGCCTTTATTCTTTGTCAACACTTTGTTAGGAGTCTCTAGCACTCTGCTCAAGCATAGTATCCGCAACCTACGTCCATGATGGAGGGGTTGCAACTTGTAACTTGCGGGACCTATCGAAGGTGGATCATGAACTGTTCCTCTGGGCTCTTCCATCACCAACCCCTACTAGTGTATTGGAACGGGTTGACGGGTGCGTGTGCGTACGTGGTAAATGGGCACCTATGGGGGGAGGGGACGAGTGTGAGGAAGAAAAAAATGGGAAAGTAGGGAACGTGTCCTCGAGTCCTTGGGGAAGCGAAGGCGAGTTTGCCTCCACATCTCTCTCCATTTCCCGGTTTCCAGACCGCACACGAAAGAACTGTGGATAGGAGGAACAGGACAAACCAGACCAGACCAGACCAGACCCGGGCGGATGGCGGGTGTGTGGCCCATATCTCTCCTCCATCCCACCTTAGAACCTCAACACGGGCCTGATCTCGGATCATACTCACGCTCACGTCTATAATGCCTCACTCTGGACTGTTGAGAGCCGATTCAGCCTGTGTGTGTCTCTCGAGTCTTGGTCTCAGTCACCCCCTACATGCGGGTGGTACGGTCATAATCATATGTCCAAGTGCCTTTGCATCGCCAGAAAGCAAGGAATAAGTCCACTTGTCTCTTATGATGTTGTCCGCGAAGCTAATTACAGGCAACCCACACTATCAACTCTGTAACCCGCCGTGGGTCGCAGGAACTTGCCCAGGCCCCGGTGCCGCTACTGGAGAAACTTGGAGACTGGAATGCGGTATGTGTATCCGTACGGTCTGTCTCTTGAGCGGTGCGCGATGGTGGACAAGCTTCTGATTGCTCCACTGTTGTGGCTGTAACATTGGCATCCTGCCGTTTTCTCGAGCCTCGAGTAAGTGAGTCGAGAGTCTCGAGCCCCCCCTGTATGAATAGTAATGAGCATTACGGCCGCCGCGTCTTTCTTCTTTCTCCCGCTCCCACATGAAATCATGAATGCCCAGACTTTCAGACTCCTGGAGTCCAGAGGTTGGGGGTTCTTATGAGCAAGGGGGCATGGGAAGCATGGGAAGGAAGCAAGCACAAGCGTGTGGCGAGCCAGCACGAGGGCCCGGCCTGGGGTTGCGGTTCGCTGCCGTCCGCGCCGCCTGTCGACGTTCCCGTTCCAGTTTTGCTGTGCAGGCCAGGCCAGGCCAGGGCCAGACCCCTGGAAGGAGGAGGAGAATGAGGTGGTTTGTCTTGGCTGATGACGGACGAGGGAGCGAACTTGGTGCGGGCTGTCTGTCATCTGCGGGATAGATAGATAGAGTAACGGCACGGGATAGTGAGAGTGAGTGCTTCCATGGACAAAATAATGGCTAATGCTAGCGTTGCCATTCGGCGGCGGTTGCCACGAGGCAAGGAGAGTTTCTGTCAAATAAGACCTTGTCTCAAGTATTCGGGACAAGATGCGCCGGGACGTAGGAAACGTTTTTATTATAGAGACGGAAAGTCCACGCTTAACCGCTTGCTTTTTACTTGGAGCCCTTTTGGTGACGGCGAGGCATATGGTGGCTGCAGATAAAGTAGATTCGCCGCCAGCCGCCAGTCCGGTTCCTTAGGCATAGCAAGCAGTAACTCTGCCGTACGGTGTACCGGGATGTCTCCACCTCATTGACCACATGTCGTCAAGACCTCAACTCTAGCAACCCGATTGGTGCTCAGGATCTACAGCAACAGCAGTATCTTGAAGAGAAGAGGCAATTGGCAATGCTGACTGCATCATTCAAATGGCAGTAATACTGAAGCGTGTGTTTTTGGCAGCAGTGGTGTCAATGTTGCGATATCTCACAATGTGGGGGCGTGTCTAGAAGAGAGCGCGGCTTGCGGCGTGCCTTCCATGGTGGACGGAGCATCTTGGAACATGACACTAGGAGCAAAGGTACGTACCGCCTGGCACTTGGCACCACGGACCCATGAAAGACACCAAATGTGAGCTTCATGTCCTTGACCAGGGGGCCCCGCTAAACCCCTTGTCCCAAATAATAATTTGGCCCCTCCATCACAGTTGCGGTGCGGGAAAGGAAGCAGGAAGTAACAGCGCAGCAACAAGTGGCAGCAGCAGCACCACCGGTCACCACCATCATCTCCTGCCGACCACCTACCTAGCAGGAACAGCCAGTCAGTCAGGACCTTACCTGCCTCCCTCAGCAAGAAAGCAGGTACACACACACCTCGCGTCCAGTCCAATTCGGTACCTGAGAAGTCCAGTGTGTGTGTGTGTCCCCTTTTTCTCTGGAACTGGTCGAAACCAGAAACCCATATCTACAGCAACGGCCACGGCTACCACCTCCCGCGCGACTTTTCTCTCCTCTTCCTTCCATTCTTTGCTGCCAATCCTCAACCTCGCCTTCTCCTCCCCCTCGGTGCATCACTTGCTCCTTGATCTTGCAATCCTTCTCTTGTTGCCAGATCATCTACAACAAGAGCCGCTCTCTTTCTGTTGCTGCATCATCAACACCTTCTACACACATCCCCCACCATGGCTGACATGTGAGTTGTTCTCCTTCACCCCCTCCCGCCCCAATGTCTTTTGCCTGCCCATTGCGCCCATTCCAGAGCCACAGCCTCGGATCGGCCTGGCATTCCGGACGCCCAAATCTCTGAAGAATCGCGACTGACTTTGCTTTCCCCTCATTTAGCAACGTTGACGTCTTGGTTATCGGCGCTGGCCCGACCGGTCTCGGTGCTGCGAAGCGTCTGAACCAGATTGTGCGTCTTCACCGCCAAATCGCCACTACCCCTGGCACACTCATTGTTCCAATGCTAACCTCGAATGCAGAACGGCCCCTCATGGCTGCTTGTTGACTCCGCCGAGAAGGCTGGTGGTCTTGCTGGCACTGATACCACCCCCGAGGGTTTCGTGAGTGCTCCCTCTTTTGCCACGCTTCCTAGCAGCATAAACTGCTTGGGATTCGGTTGTCGTTTTCGCCAGAAGATTTTCTAACCAGACTCCAATGAACAGCTCTACGATGTTGGTGGCCACGTCATCTTCTCCCACTACAAGTATTTCGACGACTGCATCGAGGAGGCGCTCCCCAAGGAGGATGACTGGTTCACGCACGAGCGTGTCTCCTACGTCCGCTACAAGGGCATCTGGGTTCCCTACCCCTTCCAGAACAACATTTCTATCCTGCCCAAGGAGGACCAGGTCAAGTGCATGAACGGTCTCATTGATGCCGCCCTCGAGTGCCGTGTCGCCGACAAGAAGCCCAAGGACTTCGATGAGTGGATTCTCCGCAACTGCGGTGAGGGTGTTGCCGACATCTTCATGCGTCCCTACAACTACAAGGTCTGGGCTGTTCCCACGACCAAGGTAAGCCTACTTCTCCACACGAGGACTCCTCTAGAGGCTGGGTCTGTTTGCTAACGGCAATCGCTACAGATGCAATGCGCATGGCTCGGAGAGCGTGTCGCTGCTCCCAACCTGAAGCTTGTTACCGAGAACGTCGTCATGAACAAGGTTGCCGGTAACTGGGGCCCCAACGCCACCTTCAAGTTCCCCGCCCGTGACGGTACCGGTGGTATCTGGATCGCCGTTGCCAACACTCTCCCCAAGGAGAAGACCCGCTACGGCGAGAAGGGCACCGTCGAGAAGGTTGACGCCGAGAAGAAGATTGTCACCCTCAAGGACGGCACCAAGGTCCAGTACGGCAAGCTCGTCTCCACCATGAACGTCGACCAGCTCGTCGAGCGCATGGGCAACCAGGAGCTCGTCAGCCTGTCCAAGGGTCTGTTCTACTCCTCCACTCACGTTATCGGTGTCGGTATCCGTGGCGCTCGCCCTGACCGCATTGGTGACAAGTGCTGGCTGTACTTCCCCGAGGACAACTGCCCCTTCTACCGCGCCACCATCTTCTCCAACTACTCCCCCTACAACCAGCCCGAGGACAGCGTCAAGCTGCCCACGCTGTACCTGGCCAACGGCGAGAAGGCCTCCTCTACCGAGGCCAAGGAGGGTCCTTACTGGTCCATCATGCTTGAGGTCTCCGAGTCCTCCATGAAGCCTGTCGAGCAGGAGAAGCTCCTCCAGCAGTGCATCCAGGGTCTCATCAACACCGAGATGATCAAGGCTGAGGACGAGATCGTCTCCACATACCACCGCCGCTTCAACCACGGCTACCCCACTCCCTCGCTCGAGAGAGAGGGAGTCCTCAAGGACCTCCTTCCCAAGCTCCTCGACCAGGGCATCTACTCCCGTGGCCGCTTCGGTTCCTGGAGATACGAGGTCGGCAACCAGGACCACTCTTTCATGCTGGGTGTCGAGGCCGCCGACAACATTGTCAACGGCGCCGTCGAGCTCACGCTCAACTACCCCGACTTCGTCAACAGCCGCAAGAACGAGGAGCGCCGCCTTGCTGCGTCATTCGCCTTCGGCTCCCAAGCCAACGGCATTCCCTCGCACAGCAAGTAAGCTTGCCATGTGTTGGCGGAAGCTGTTAGAAAAGGAGGCAAAGAATTGCATTGATTTTTCAAGTCTGGTTGCTATAAAGCAATAGAAAGAAGCATGAGCATGACCAATGGAAGGAGGCAAGCTCAGGAAAACAGGGAGCTGCTTTTGGCTAAGCATAGAGAGAATACCTGGGAGTTTTTACGATGTTGAATTGGGGCGGGGGGGAAATCATCCGGTGCGCCATACCCACGATGTTGATGTTGAAAGTCGTGCGCAGCTGTAGGCGTGGGGGGCCGACTCGCCCTTGAAAAGGAATACCTACATAGAGTATAGATGTTTGGCTTCTACAATCTCACACCATTCGAGCATTTGGTTGTTTACTTTGTACTTGTGATGCCGTCTCCCGTATTCTCGGCCGGAGGTGCTTCCGATAGCTGCGACCCTTGCGGAGGAAGCTATAGCGTCCGCCTTCCGGTCGAACTAGCGTACATCTGGAAGAAAAGAAAAAAGGCACGATCCAGTGAGCCGTTGAGTTTGGCACCCCTGCCTTTGGCGTCTGACATGTCCTTGTTTGCTTGTTTCTCGTTTTTCTCCCCTTCCCTCATGGATATAGAGTTAGTCAGCGTATCTGCAGCCTGCGAGGCTTAACTCGTTAAAACCAAGGAATTGGGACCACCTAGCACTGGCACCATCACGACCTCGGATAGTTGCTTCGAGATTTTTGTGTGTTATCATCTCCTGATATTGCCTCTGGAGCTGAACAGAAAGTGGTTCAGGGACCTATAGTCCCTGGCTGCTATCGCGGCTTTGCAACAGGGACTTGCCAAGTTACCGTTCGGTCCCTTTATTCTTAGTAATATCCCCTGACTCCCGCGGGTAAGAGAATTTGGTTCAATATCAGACGGAACAGGCACACACTGTAAACAGCACCTCATGCCTTTTTCTTTTGTTTTCTCGCACTCCTTCTCTCGAAGATGCGCGTCAGGTTACTAGTGGCAGCCACAAAACAGACAAAAATCCTCAGGGTCCGAGTGAGCTAGCACCGTAGCACAGACTAGTGGGCAGTGTGCGCCAATGACATCATTTTTTCTTTCTTGTCTTATGGCTTAACTTGTCGCCCTGAACTCTGACGGCCTGACTGAGCCTTATGTATGTGTGTGACTGTGTGTGGCACGACTCAGGTATCTGCAAGAAATCTTGGAAAAGATGAGACGGGCTGGCTTCAACGATTCGGTGAGTTGATGCTAGTCTCATTACTTGAATTTTCCAGGCTTCGAGATTTTTCTCTGGTGGGAGCTGAAATCTGGGACTAAAAATCTTGGGGGAGCAGGGGTTGGGTAGTGCGAATGAGTCGCGACGGCTCTGTCAGTCCCACGGATGCGGTGGAGAGGGGGCTTTTATTTTATTTCCTTGGAGAAGAGACGGCGTCTTTTTTAATCCTGGTATGATGGGAAACGGCTGGAGGTTTGGATCATATTGACTTTGGACCCTTTGCCTTACAGTACATAGTAGGTACCTTGGGTGGAACCAAGGCAATACAGAACCTACCTCAGATGGGCGGTAATTACTTATGTCGCTGCTCCAACAACCACACAGGAAGATGTTTGCGGTCGAGTAAATGGCAACGTTCAGCTGCAGCGGAAGTCCGGCGGATTATCGGGCGTGCAAAAAGGATCAGCAGAGGCCTGGTTGTTGAGACTGGACAGTAAGGTAATTAGCGGTCAACGGTGCAAGGGAAAACAGGACGGGAACCGGGAGTTGGGATCGTTTGAATCGCTGGAGGGGGGGAGGGGAGCAAAGCCAGTGGTGCTAAAGTAATGGGTTCCATCATGGTGCGGCGGACCTAGCGACACGGAGAAAGGGCGACGGGTGGAAGTAGGGGAAACAGGCTAGGACGGACAAGAAATCGAGGGAACAAAGGCTCCGGCAGTTCAGTATCGAGAGTCTGTACGGATAGGTAGTTTGAAGGTTTTCTGTAGGTATTCCATGTCTCCCGTCAACATCTACACTAAGTTCTGGCGAAAAGTCCGTCGGAGCTTGGTGAAAGATGAGGCTCGCTGGAGTTTGGAGAGACGAGCATGCGGGACCATCGGCTGATGGAGCATGGACATTGACATTGAGGGATTGAGCAAAAGATGCTCTGTGTCACCCCAGCTAGCCCTGTTTATCGTTGTGAATGTGGACGGCTGAGAGCTCCGATGATCGACATTTGTATCTGCGAGCTCGGCCAAACAGACTGTACGCACATGTACGGACAGCACAGCGTAGCGTTGCTGGTTTTTTGTTCCTGCCAATCATTGCCTACGGTGGATGTTTACCCCTTTCTTCTACTGTTTCTTTGCCATATCTGATGTTTCGGGTTGCCTATACATGCCGAGTACGCCATTCATGATTCCATTCACGTTGATCTGCACGATTTCCATTGGAGATAGGAGCGAGTGACGATGGGCTGGGCACGTTTTTTTGCCCAAGGGCCTAGAGTCCCCAAATAAGTGGATAGCTTCTCTTCCTCCACTGCTGTGACCAGGGGTTAGATTGGCATGCGTCTTCCTTCTCCTCGTCTTGGTGATTTGTTTTGTTCAAATCCCCGAATTTCAGCGCAGACATGTCCGCTGCGGAGTCCTGTTCCCTAGGGCATCGAATATCACATCAGGGTTTACTGTGTACTCCGTGTAGAGGAAAGGAGAACCTAAGAGGAGGAGAAAGGAGCTACCCAGAGGAACGAGAGGGACGAGACAAGGAAAAGACGCCGAGATGTCACTGGCGTGGGTCCCGTTTTTGTCTAACAGAGACACCAACGTTTGCATGTTTGACGAGGGGAGTTTGGGGAGGCGTTTGATACCAGACGGCTGCCCCATTCCGTATTTGGCCTCTGACTTACTAAGGCACATGCGTATCAGTCCTCGACTACTCTCTTCTATCCAGATGCCATAATGCGAGGTGCTCTATGTTCAACTGCGACTTTCAAGTCCAAGGTATTCTCTGCTTCCTTGGAACAATTTCGAGAGACAACTGAAAGGTTACAGTGCCCGGAGTTGGTCTGTTTTGGTTCAAGTTTTCCAGGGCAGGTGCAAATGGAACTTGAAAGCTGGAGGGAGATACGTCCCATTGCGGATACTAAAGATACCTCAGGTCCTTAGCAGCCAACCTAAGGTAAGGAGGAAGGAAGGAAGGTATTGGGAACTTGGGTGCTTCACTGCTGGGGAAGGCGTGGTGGGCTTGGTCCCTGGCGCTTGGAAGGTGCCCTTTGCTCCCTCTAAAAATCATTACGTACTCCACTCCTCAAGGGTGTTGCTGCTTCAGAAGTTCAGCCTGCCCTTGCCAGTGCCCGCGCTGTCCAGACTCCAGTGCCGCACCTTAAGCAATCCACGGCTGCCCTGTCGCCGGATGCCACCATCGCCCAACGTCTCCGTGCAGCGTGCATCCTGCCCCATCTTGAACCTAAGTGGTCAGCAAGGCGGCCAAGCAAAGGTCCTGAGGTACGGAGTACAAGGTGAGTGAGAGAGAGGTTCAAACGGCACCGCCAACGTCTGGTTTGTCCTCCTCCGACAGCTGCCCACTCGCTCACCCGTCCGTCGCCTGACGACGCCCTCCAAACGCATACCAGGTTCTTCTTCGTCTCACTCAGTTTCCAGACTGTTTGCAAGATTGCGTTGCCGTTGCCTTTCGCCGTGTTCATAGCGACGAGGCCAACCCACCCCTCGTCCACTTGATCCGATTGCGCGCGCGCATACCCGGCCGATGCGAGAGACGTCTTGCATGCACGGAAACATCAACCCCAACCGCAGTGTATCCCTCCAGTCTACGAACCATCGCTGTACAGCTTACGCCTCGAGCTTCTCATGGAAATATGACATGGATAGCAGTCTCTAGTTGACAATTACGACCTCATCTACGTCAACTTTGACTCTCGCGACGACATCATCGCCGACTGCGAAACAAAGGCCGACGCCGATACCAAAGGACCTGCGCGCCCACCCAAAATCTCACTCACCCCCACCATCGACAACTGCACTCGGCCTCCAAGCTCCGGCTTGCGCCTAATGACCGGCCTCAATGATGGACGGCACTGCCATCGTGTCGGACGACCACTTCGACCCTCCCTCGCGTCTTTTTGAGCGCCTTCGCCAGATCGCCGGCTATACCTGGGACGAGTCTCGGCTTCCCTTCCACACATCTTACGACATCTGGTGAGTCCCGCCCCCACCCCCATTGACTTCTGGTGTTACTCGCCGAGCACCAGCAATAATCTCTGTCGCCTTCTCCCTATCTCCTCGAATGCTGTAATGTCTAACGTATGCGGATAGGCACGTTTGTGGTACCAGATTCGTATCTCCATACCAGCCCTCCTCCTCTTCATCCTTACCCGCCTCGAGTCCCGGCTCCATCGCGAAACTACAATCCGGTCGACCATCGCCTTCCGAACATGCGAGCTCCTCCAGCCTTCACTCAGGCCTTCCCAGCGATGCGAGCAGCGACTTTTCGGCGACCTCGCCGCCCGCGATCCCCGCCGGTGCCGCAGAGATATCATATGTAGAAGAGCCGGTAGTGGCTCGCGTCTCCTACCATGTGCTCCGTGAGGAGAGAGCCTTCCATATAGCTAAGAACCTATTTGCCACGGCCGATCCTCAAGGGCTGCACATTGTAAAGCCACTCGACCTCATTCGTCTCGCCCCTCACCCCGGCGATCGGGGTTCCATTGTGGTCGCAATCTATCAGCATCCCGGTCAGAACTACCTCTTTGATCTGATGGACATGGGGCCAGCCTTCTATATGGCTAGGAAGATTGACGACCGGTACGAGGCGTATCGCAAACAGAATTTGCATTTGAAGCCTCCGATAGATCTACAATACTTCCTCGACTTTGCCATTGGCGCAAGTCAGTGTCTGGAAATCCTCCACTATGGGCAGGTGATTACGCATGGAGAGATCAGGCCGGACGCCTTCCACTTCAATATCGAGACGAATTCGGTCAAGCTCATCAACTTTGGCACGGGGACGAGATCCTTCGAGGGCGGCTTGTCAAGCACCTCATGGTCGAGCTTGTCAAGAGAGTTGGGCGCAAAGAATAAGCTCCTCTATATAAGCCCAGAGCAGACAGGTCGTATGCCGGCAGAACCTGATAGCCGGACCGACATTTACTCTCTTGGCGTCGTTTTTTGGACATTGCTCACACAGCAGCCGGTATTTGATGGCGAGACACCCCTGGACATTGTGCAAGGCGTCCTAGGACGACGAATCCCCAACGTATCGCAAGTTCGACTCGACATACCCGACGTTATCGGACGTATCATACAGAAATGCACGGCCAAGACTGTCGCTGATCGATATCACTCGGCTAGTGGCTTGAAGCATGACCTGCTCAAGGTGCAGCAATTCTTGACAGACGGCGACTGGTTGGCGCTTAAGGAGTGGAAGATCGGCGAAAAGGACATCTCGTCCTTCTTCATTCTACCCAGTATGATGATCGGTCGGCAAAAAGAGAGAGCAGAAGTTATCAGAGTCATTGAACGGGTCGCCAAGAGCCATTCGATGAATCAAAAGTCTACAACAAATAATCGCTTCTCTGATGGCTCGCAGCTCTCGGTTGAGCTGCCTGACTGCGGAGACCTGTCGAGCGAGGGCGCAAGCTCGGCAGAAGGCACAACACGTCGTAGCGGATCCTTCACACATACTACGTCCTCCGACCCTAGGCAGTCAAAGGCTAGTTTTGTTCCGTCCGTCCTATCCGACACCCAGACAATATCGGGCGACACCATCGCCTCGTCTAATTCTGGCCCGTTTGCGAGGATGACCAGGCCGTGGGAGAGGCAATTGGAAAGACATCAGTCGGTCTCGATCGAAACTCGGAGTCTCATCGATGGTGTAGGTACGCCAACAGACAGCAACCGGTTGAGTGCGGTGGAATCATCGTCCTCAAGCTTATCACGCCAGCTCGGATCAGCAAAGTTCCGTAGACGCGGGCACTGCGAGATCGTCCTCGTTGAAGGAGCTGGGGGGTTGGGCAAGAGCTGTCTCTACCAGTCGGTGCTCGCTGAAGCTC